CGAAGAAATAAGGGAGGAAATCAGAAAGTTCCTGGAATTTAGTGAAAATGAAAGCACAACCTACTGGAACCTATGGGACACATCAAAGGCAGTGTTAAGGAGAAATTTTGTAGCTATGAGTGCATGTATTAAAAACACAGAAAGATCTCAAATAAATAACTTAATGTTGTATCTCAAACTCCTAGAAAAACAAGCTCAACCCCAAACTAGCAGGAGAGAGAGAATGAAAATAAAGGCTGAAATCTACAAAATAAGAGACCCAAGAAACCATATAAATAATCAAAAAACTGACAAACCCCTGGCAAATCTGACTAAAATGAGGAGGGAAAAGACCCAAGTTAATAAACTTAGAAACAAGAAACAAAAAAGGAGACCACAACAAATATTAAGGGAATCATTAGGGATTACTTTGAAAAACCTATATTCAAATAAATTGGAAAACTTGGAAGAAATGACCAAAATTCTAGATACATATGACCATCTAAAACTGAACCAAGAGAATGTAAGTCACCTAAATAGATCTATAACAGTGAAATTGAGACAGCATTAAAGAGTCTCCCAAAAAAGAAAAGTTCAGGATCCATGTCTTTCACCCTGTACAAATATGAACTCAAAGTGGGTTAATGACCTTAAAATATGACCTGAAACTTTGAGCTAGTGGGCAAGAGCAGGAAATACACTAGAACTTAAAGGCATAGGCAACAACTTCCTAAATAGAACTCCAGTGGGTAAGCAACTAAGAGAAAAGATTGACAAATGGGACTCCATGAAATTAAAAAGATTCTTTCTGCACAGCAAAAGAAATGGTCACAGGATGGAAGAGGCAGCCCACAGAATGGGAGAAAAATCTTTGCCAGCATATATCTGACGAGGGATTAATATAGGGAGCTCAAGAAACTAAACTCTCCCAAAAATCAATGACCTAATGAAGAAACAGGCAAATGATCTCAATAGACCTTTTTTGAAGGAAAATGTACAAATGGCCAAAAATAAATGAATAAATAAATAAAATAAGTAACATTCAGTATCCCTAGGCAGAAAGAAAATGAAAATTAAAACCACATTAAGATTCTACCTCACTTCTGTTAGAATGGCTATCTTAAAGAAAACAAACAACAACAAATATTGGCAAGGGCAAAAGGAACCCTTATACGCTGTTGGTTGGAATGTAAATTAGTACAACCACTATAGAAAACAATATGGAGGCTCCTTAAAAAACTAAAAATAAAACTGCCATATATGACCCACCAATACCACTGTAAACCAAGGTTACAGCAAAGGCACCCATATTAATAGCAGCATTATTCACAATAACCAAGCTATGGAAACAGCCAAGTTGCCCTACAGCTGATTAATGGCTTAAGCAAATTCATATACAATGGAATTTTATTCAGCCATAAAGAAGAATGAAATTTTGTCATTTGCAGGTAAATGGATGGAAGTGGAGAACATCATTTTAAGCGAAGTTAGCTAGGTTCAGAAATCTAAAGGCCACATATTTTCTCTCATATGTAGAATATAGACCCAATACAAATAAAAGTGATACTATGTATACATAGAAATATATCCGATACAGAGCATGTTTCCAAAAATGGGACTGATTGAGGAGACCAAGGGAGGAGAAAAAGAAGGAAAGAAAGGTAGCAAATAATAATGAAGTACATCACATCTGTGTAGGAACATGCTGAAAACTGTTAACACAGGATAGGGGAAAAGGGCGAAGAAGTATAATAGAGGGGAGTTACATTGACTTAAGTATGATGCATGTACAGATGTAATACCAAGGCAAAAATCCCACTGAACAATGAATAGACATCTAAACAGTGAAGAACAACAATGAAGAACACTAAGTGGAGGATACTAAAGGAAGAGGGAGGGTAAAAGAAGGAAGTAAAGAAGGTGAATATGGTTGATGTACTTTCTATACAAGAATGAATATAGAATTTTAAACCTGTTGAAATTACCATAAGAAGAGGACTAAGGTAGAAAGGAGAAAAATGAAGTGGTTCAGGACACAATATATACATGGAAAGATCATAATGAAATTCTCTTTATAGATATCTTAAACAAGCAAAAATGTCTTTTTTCAAAAATAGAGGACAGGAAGATAAAACAGGAACTGTCTAGGGGTTTGTACCTGTGTGTGGGGGTGGGGAGGGTGTAAGGAAAGAGTGCAGGAGGGTGAATGTGGTGGAAATACTATGTACTCATATATGGAAATGGAAACAGACCTGTTGAAACTATTCTAAGAATAGGGGGAGGGAAGATAAAGGAAAATGATGAAGTGGGATGAATTTGACTATGATATATTGAAAGAACTTTTGTAGATGTCACAACTTCCACTAAAGACATGGCACCTTTTCAACAAATCTAAAGTTTTTACTTTATCACTTTAATTAAGCACGTAATGTGTCCTTTTTGGCTCGGAAGAATTACAACTTTTACCAAGCTTTTGGGCACCGTTTGCTTTTTGTGGGGCATATTTTCCCAAATTAAGGGAAGGGAAACCCTCAGCAGATCATGCAACCATTTAAACACAACTGACAATGTGAGATTGTCAGTTCTTTTGACAGAACTTCTCTGCATCAGCTGAGCTGTGTAATGTGTGCATGGCAATTTAAAATTTTCATTTTTGAAATTTCATTGAATTTATTTATTGGGCCATGCTTGGTCAAAGCCATGTGTAATTATGAATAAGGCAAGTTTACTGTACATATAAAAAAAAACCTTTGGAAAGAATAAAACATGGTGTAAGTGCAAAATAGTAGTAGAAAGTCACCAAATTAACATTTTAGGAAGCTGATTGCTATAGGACTAAATAGATCAAGGAAGCATTTATTTCAAAGGAAACTATTTAGATGAGTAGGATCAGAGTAAGAGCAAGAAAGAACATAAGTAGACATACAGTAAGTATCACCTGGTTGAAATTTGATAGTGAATGTGTAGTACAGGGATTTGTGATGATTTTTCATCGTAGCCAAACATTTATTTATTATGTTTGTGGATTCTGTCAGGAATTCAGAAAGGGTATAGTATGGACATTTTGTCTCTTCCTTAAAGGTATGGGCCTTAGTTAAGATACTGAAAGCATGTGGGTTGGAATCATTTGAAGGTTTATTTGTTCACTCACTTGTATGTCTATCAACTGGAGTTCTCATTTCCTCTCCATGGAGGCGACTTAATGTGGATGACTTGGGCCTGTTTATAGCCTGATGGCTGGATTCCAAGGGTATGTAAGTGCACACAAAATAGCAAGAAAGAGTAGGCATGCATGTGCTCTGTTTCCTTTTATTGTAGAATGGTATTAAAATAAAAATCTGGGTGCTAGGTGTGCTTGCTGGCTACTGTTTTATGACCCTTCAGAGCAAAGAAATACATGTGTGTATACTAACTAATATGTATAAATATTTCTAATGACCATCTGTAGCTATATTAAACTAGCTATGAGTTCTTACTGATGTCTCCAACTAATACATGTCCCTTCCTTAGCTTGTGGGGGCTCTTTATATTGGATACTGAGCTCTTTTTAAAAACTTTATTGAGATATAATTTGCATACAATAAAATGTACCCCTATTAAATATCCAGTTTGATCTTGACAGACATACATACCACAACCACAGTCAAGATCTGGAACATTTCTATGCCCTTTTGTAGTCCCCTTCCAAACTCACAGTAGCCTTGGATCTGTCACTATCATAGTGTGTATTCCTATATCAATATGATACTCCAAATCATATCAATATGATACATTTGGAATTCAGCCACATTGTTGCATGTATCAATAATTTGTTCCTCTTATTAGTACTAGTGTTCTATGATATAATTTGTCAATGTAACAGTTGATGGATATTTGGAATATTTCTAGTTTGATCTATTATGAGACAACTACTATGAACAAAGGTGTTAAGTCTTTATATGGACAAAAGTTTTCTTTTGGGAAAATACCTAGGAGAAGAATTGCTGGGACATATGATATATATATTTTTAACTTCATAAGAAACTGCTAAGCTGTTTTCAGGCATGGTTGCTCCATTCAACGTCTCCAACTCATAGTAAGTGAGTTTCTGTTTATATTCTGCCAATACTTGACATTGGCAGTCTTTTTAAACATTTTAGCCATTCTGGTGAGTATGTAGTGGTTTTAATTTGCAGTCCTTGGTTAGTGATGTTGAACATCTTTTCATATTGGCTGTTTGTTTATCTTATGTATGCCTTTTATTGGCTATTTGTTTATAATTTTTGCTCATAAATTAGGGTCTTTGTCTTCTTATAAACTTATAATTCTTGTCTTCTAGATACCAGTCCTTTGTAATACATATGTATTGACAGTGCTTTCCCGGCCTTGCCTATTTCATTTTCTTTCATTATCATTTTCCTTTCTTTCAAAATGTCTTTTTTATCTTGGATGAAGTCCGATTATGTCCTGTTTTGACACACCTTGGATAACATATGTTCAGCATGTTGTGTACATCTCATACTCTGTGCTTGGAATCAGCTGTTTTTCCCTGAAGTTCTGGTTCCTTTTACTCAGAGCTATTTCAAGACCATTACCTACTTGGAAGCTTATTGTCATAAGAGTAGTCATTGTCTTCTAAGGTTTTTCATTACCATACTTAGGAAATACATACACGTTTTCTTTTCAAACACACATAAATATAAATTCAAATCATTCAAATTTAGGAATTCAAAGCTTTAATTTCTTTGATTTTATAATTTATGCTAAAATTTTGTTGATGTTATTCATTTTTCTTTGTCTTAATATTTAATAGCTCTAGAATAACAACAATATTATTACTAATAGGATTACTGAAAACAGTTTAAATTTCTTAGGATATATTTTGTTAGTTATATACCTGTTAAATTTGCTCACAGGTATGCACAGTGAAATTATTACATTTTAAGTATCTTCTCCATGGACACTGTGATTAAACCACCAAATTGATACATAGTTGGGTTAATTTAAGTTTTGGAATTTCTTTTTTCCTTTTCATTTTTTTTTTAATTATGTAAAGCATGATTTCAAACTGAAATCTACAAAACAGTTTACATTTTAAAAAGTCTAGCTTCCATCCCTTGGTTAGTCTACCCAATTTCCTATAGGTAACTACTGCCATTAACCACTGCTGCTTTTATTTGTATAAATGTGTATAGATACGTATGTATTAAATATGTATTGTATATATGTACACAAATTTGTATGTTTTAGGGAAAGAGTTCTATAAATGGAATTGCTTGTTAAAGGTAAATGCTAAGTAATAACAGATTCCTTTTTAGAGTTGTTTATATTGTTGCTTGTAATATATGACAGTGCCTGTTTATTTCTCCTTTGCTTTGTTAGTGTATGTTTTAAACTTGTATTTTTACCAATTAGGTTGGAGAAAAATCAATATAGTTTTAATTTATGTTTCTCATATATGTGAGATTAGGCCTCTCCTGTGCTTAAGTGTGATTTTTTTGTGAACTCTGCCCATCCTCTCCACCCCTGCCCTTTTGTTGGTCTTTTTCTTCTAAGTCTCTATATTTTATTTTAGAGAAACAAGTTGAGTATTCTTTATCCAAAATGCTTGGGATCAGCAGTGCTTAAGATTTCATATTTTTTTTGATTTGAGGATATTTGCATATACATAGTGAGATATCTTGGGGGGGATGGGACCCATATCTAAATATGAAATTTGTGTATGTTTCATATAAAGTGCATATGAAGCCTGAAGGTAATTTTACACACTTTTTGTGGTTTGCGTTTTCACTGAAGTCTGTCAGATGAATTTTCCTCAGGTTAGCATCATATTGGTGCTCAAAGTTTCAGATTTTGGAGTTTTGGATTAAGGATTCTCATCCTGTAATAGCCTTTTATTATGTCAAGTACTGGTAATTTCATTTGTCTGTTTTTAAATAAACTTATTTTTTCGAACACTTCCAGGATCGTAGCAAAACTGAATGAAAAGTGTAGAGATTTTACATGTACCCTGTCTTTGATAAATTTGTTAAAATCAGTGACATAACACTCATGGTAGAAGTTTGATTATTTATCCATTTGCCTACCGAAGGACATGTTGGTTGCTTCCAAGTCTTAGCAGTTGTGAACAGGCTACTGTAAACATCTGTGTGTAGGTTTTTGTATTCACATGAATTTTCAACTCCTTTGGTTAAGAACTGCCAAACTTTTCCATATTAAATGAATCATTTTGCATCCCCACCAGCAATGATTAAGTTCCTGTTGCTCTACAACTTGTGCCAGCATTTGGTGTTGTCAGTGTATTGAATTTTTGCTACTCAGATAGGTGTGTAATGGTATTTCTTGTTTAATTTGTAATTTCCTTAATGATATAGGTGTTGAACATCTTTTCATATGCTTATTTGCCATCTGGCTGTCTTCTCTGATAAGAGGTATGTCTAAGTCTTTGACCCAGTTTTTAATCAGATCATTTTCTTATTGTTGAGTTTTAAGACTTCTTTGTGTGCTTTGGATAACAGTTATTTATCAGATGTCTTTTGCAAATATTTTGTCCTCGTTTTTGATACACCTATGCACCCCAACCCACCCCTCTCCTCTTTTTGTCAGTAGTGGCATTAAACTCAGGGCCCTGAGCTTGCTAGGTAAATACTCTACCACTCCCTCAGTTCTTTTGCTTTTAGTTTGTTTCTCAGGGGCCCCCATTTTGTCTAGGCCACCCTCTGATCATGATATTCCTCCTCCACTTAACCTCTGATCATGATATTCCTACCTCCACTTAACCTCTGATCATGATATTCCTACCTCCACTTAACCAGGTTGCTAGGATTACAGGTGTTCATCATCATGCTTGGCCATCTCATTCCCTTGACAGTGTCTTTCACAGAGTAGAAGTTTTCAATTTTAATGAAGACCAGCTTATTAATTATTTCTTGCATTATGTGGATCTTTGATATCACACCTAAAACATCACTAAGATCATTTAGATATTTTCCTATGTTCTAGGGCTTTTATAGTTTGGGATTTTACATTTATGTCAGTGATCCAATTTGAGTTAATTTTTGTGAAAGGTGAAGTTCTGTGTCTTTTCCATCTGTACTGTGTGTGGCTATGGATGATTTTGTTTTTTGCTTCATGTGTTTGTTTACTGTAATACACATGTTAACTTAAAAAAATAAAGGTTATTTCAACCCCCCACACACACAAAAAAGAGTTCTGTGTCTAGATTCATTTTTTTTAGCCTGTAGGTATACAGTTGTTTTTAATGCCATTTGTTGAAAGACTATCCTTTTTCTGTTGAGTTGTCTTTGCTCCTTTGTTAAAGATCAGTTGATTATAGCTGTGTGGATCTATTTCTGGACTCTCAATTCTGTTTCTCTGATATATTTGTCTTTTACTTCATTTGATACTAACCACACTGTCTTGATTACTGTAGCTTTATAGTAAGTCTTGAAAGCTAGAAGTCAGTCTTCCACCTTTGTTCTTAAATATTGCATTGGCTATTCTGAGTCTCTGTACAAACTTTGGTATCAGTTTGTCAGTGTATATAAAATAACCTGCTGAGATTTTGATGAGGATTGCATTTTAGTTGTAGATGACATTGGGAAGAACTGATACCTTGACCAATTTGGGTTCTTCCTGTGTCTATCAAGTCTAGATTAATTTGGGGTATCATGTGTTGTTGAAACATACTAGCACATTAAGATAAAGAAGATGGCAAAAGCATATGAGTGTGAAAATCTTGAAATACGAATCTGTGATACCCATATAAGGGCCTTTTGGTCTGGTACAAGATTTTAAGGAGATTCAGTAGCAATAGTCAAATATTTAAAGATCTAACATATAGGAGAAGTGTTTGACTTGCTTTGCACAATTCCAGAGGTGAGAATTAGTCTTCATCAGTAGAAATTTTATAGAGCTATAAGAAAGATATGATTGGTATAAGCAAGAATTTTCTAATGATTTTGGGTGTGAAAGGGTGTGACAGTAGAGAGGTGTCAGAGACCTTGAGAGTTAAAGTTTTTCCTGCCAAATTCTTCTAATAGAGAATTTCAATAACTGTATATATTGAAGAAAGTTTTTCTGCATGAGATAGGAGATTAAATTATTTCCTTACAAAGGCTCCTCACATTTTGTTTGATTACTAATCCACCTATTATAATATTGGTTCTTAACTATTCACTTCAATACTTTCTTTTTAATTTACACTTTTTGTAATGCCTCCTTACTATCAAAAAATAAAACTTGTAGTACACATAATCTGCCAACACATATAATGTTCAAGAAATATAAATGTAGTATAAAGTAGAAATGAAAATAATTTAAAACAAGTCCATAATTATGTATTGCATTTCTGAAATTTAACAAACCAAATGTTGATCACGGGCTGCTGCATACACTATTAGCTGTTACTTAAGATGCTTTGAAATTTAAAAAATTCTATAATATCTGGTCCCAGGCATTTTGGCTAAAATGCTATGGTTGCTTAACAAGTATTTCAACATGTATATGTTCAGAATGACTAATTTTAGAATATGTGTTAAGGTGGCCAAAAGATTACACTTTTATTAATGCTCAGATTTAAGTGGAGTTGATAAACTCTTCTGTTAAATACAGGAAGGTGAAAGCAGACTGTGCTACACAACATGTAATAGGTAATAACCAGGCCTTGCTTGTTTACATATAAGAGGAAGGGGAATAACATTATATGAAGGAATAACATGTCTAAGCAAGTTGTACTGTTGAAGTAGAAAAAAATGAAGAAATATATTCTTTTAAATGAGCTAAGCCTAAGTTATCAAAACAGTTTCCTACATTATAATTTGAAGTATGATAGTGACAACATATTTGAAAATCATCCCCTAATTTGAAATTCCACCACATATTGAGGTCTGCATTGAGACTCTAGAAATTATTTAATTATATATATATATATCATAGAATATAATCATATCATATCATATTCTCATATAATCATATCATGTAATCCTATAATATCCTAGAAGCAGGGAGTATTTTATTAATAACTTGGAGATAATTTCCTATAAAATATTTTGACATGACTATATATATATTTATCCTTGGTTTAATTCATAGAACATTCAACGTTGTATGGGATGTAGGATATTTCTTCATTGGTTTTCCACAGGCACTATCTTATAACTAAAAATAGATTGTGTTTCTTGTTTTCCTTTTGTCTTCTGTGCAAATAAGATCCCATTTCTTTTTTTAATTCGTCACAGTTTTTCCTTTGCAGGCATTATTCTCATATGATCTTTTGATAATTTTTGCCAGCCTGTGTTGTCTTACCAGCAGTCATATATGTTAGTTTGGAATCAACACTTTCAACATAACTTCATACCTAAACATGTAAAATTTAGAAGCAGTTATATGCCAGAGTTCTTTAAAATCAAATTTTAAAGAGAAATTAGTTTGTATTGTAGGTAGTCAAATTATAGGACTGGTAATGCTCAAAAGGAAGTTTGAGAACTAAATGTCATTGTCATCATCGTTCATAGTTAATACGTAAATTGTTAATAAAAAGGAGAATTTCACTGTGGTTAGAAGGTAACAATTATTTGACATTGGTTACTTTATTTTCTGACTACCTAGTAAAATGGTTTGGACTCTTGTATATTGAGTACAATATTCAGTTGTATTTTATAAATAGAATTGCTGTTGTCCTATTTTGTGTATAGGCTACTGTTATACTTGGAATAAAATATAAACCACTTTTTTGTTTTTAGCTATAAGGACTAATTTAGCTTTTTTAGCTACCATTTGTTTTCCTTAAAATAGGTAAACTTTAAAAAAATCCTCTATAAGATTTTTTAAATGAATTAATATATCCTTTGGTATGTAGGAAAATGGCTGTTATTTTAGTGTATACATCTTAGAGCAGTTATTTTTGAGAGTATTGTGAATGGATTGGCACTTTTTATTGAACCTGTCAGTTCTACTTGTGAATAAATGACTATTTAAAAATGGACTCTGATGAAACAAAGAGCTGAATGAAATTAAAATGTCATGTGTTCCAATAATTGCCTCATATAGTCTTAAAAATACGGTAATTTGTATATATGTATGTACTTTTTAGAAAGAATCTTCGAGAGGGAGACACAGGGACAAGGAAGACATAAAAATCACTAAGGAAAGAACTCCAGAAAGTGAAGAAGAAAATGTAGAATGGGAAACTAATAGAGATGGTGAGTTTAAAAACATTGCTGACCTAATCAGCTCTTGACTATTCACTATGTAGACCTTCCTGGCTTTAAGGAACTGTTCAGCTGTTAGCTCCCTATTGTTTCAAAATTATGTTGACCCGTTTCCAAGTTATAAAGCAGACATTAGCAAACAGTTGCAGTACAAGGGCAGGAAGGTTGGTTTTTGCTACATATTTCAGCTTCCCCATTGTTCCTTTCCCTCTATTTTTGTGATTTGAGATTTTATTACATGTGTAAATTTAAAATTCATTAACTCAAGTTAAAACTGAATCTAACCTTATGTTGTCTTATATAAAATATTTAAAATGAGATTTTAAAGTCTTAAATACCTTGGGAAAATTATTTCCAAGAAATTGTTGACTTTCATTTTTAAGAATAAATCAACGTCAGATGATAATCGAGTCCTGGGGTTTATTTGTGAAAATCAGCAAAGTCATTATTTTCCACACCATAAATGTTCTCTCTTCTCCATCCCTTTGATGTTTGGGAAGGTGAACACTGACCTCATACAACCAAATATAGAGAAAGGGAACTCAACATTTGTTGAATGCATTGAATATGTTGGACATTTTAATTAATTTATATTCTCATTCAATAGCTTTGTTATTCTATTATAGATGACAAAACTGCAGGGCTTAAGAATTTCAGTTAACTTTTTTGGTGAAGAGCTAAAAACTTAGATCAGAGGTTAGGAAACTACAGCATATGGACTGTCAACCTGTCTTTGTAAATATACTTTCATTGGAATACAGCTGTGCCCATTTAGTTACATGCTGCTTTTAAGGCTGAGTTGAAACATTGTGACAGAACCAAGAACTTGCATTCCTGAAGTATTATATTTTAGAAGGAATTCTGAAGACATAGATTAATGCTTGAAAAGATCCTGCTGTATCTCTAGTAGTTGGATTAGTACTTACTAAAGAAATCTATTCTATCTTTGGATAGTGTTAATCTGTTAAAAAGTTGTTGCTAAGAAAAAGTAAGAAAGTTCCTTATTATGGTTATTAATATTGAGATTTTATAATCTAATCTAATACCAGTTCTACAAAATAGCAGTAAAATTAGTTGTAATATTCCATTGAAGTATTTATTTCCCTCTTATTCTATGTATGAACCTTCTTCCTAGTGTATAAAGTTCACATATTTGTATTTTAAATCTGATTTCCTCCTACCTCACCAATTTTATTCATTTATTACATGTTCTCTTTAACATCCCATTTCTCCCAATATAACTTTTAGCTACCATTTTGCTTATCCCCCTTTAATAGCTAAATTCTCTATAGAGTTTCTTATACCTTCCTATCTCTGCCTTTTCACCTGATACTTTGTTATATAGGCTTTTGATCAGCCTCTCAACTAAGGTTGTTTTTCAAGGTCACTAATAACCTCCTCTTTGCTGAATAAATGGAGATGTACTTGTCTCTATTACATATGACCTTTCTGCAGCATTTGACAAATCTCAGAGCTCCTGACTTGAAAATCACTCCTTCCCTTGACTTCTACCTGTCACTCTTCAATTTGCTGTATTCTTGTTTAAGCCCTTCAGTCTTATACAGAGGCTCCTTGTAGTCCATCCCTTAACTGTTGATTTCTGAGGCTTTGCACTTGACTTTCTTAAATCTAAAGTGATTTTATTCCAAGAGCATTTTATATGGATACCTCTTTTTTTTTTTTTAAATTTTGGTGTTACTGGAGTTTGAACTTAGGGCCTCATATTTGCTAGGCAGGTGCTCTGCCTCTTATGAAGAAACACCCAACAACTATGCTTAACCAGGAAAAGAATTATGAGGAAGGGGCAGTGTTTTATGTTTTCCCGGTCATTTTTATGTCCAGTTTAATGGTAGAGCTAGATTTTCATACCCACTTCTGCATCCAATCTGTTAAAAATATCACATCTTCTAGAACACTCTACTACATACTCATGAGAGAATTAGTAAACCAAACAAATAGTATACTTTTGATCTTATGGAACTCCTGAAATTGTCCAAGGGAAACCCCAGGAATCTCCAGGCTACTCTTTGAGAACCACGTGTATAGGAACAAATTCAAAGACTTTTGGTTGTTCTCTGTTTGCCTAGCCATCCTCTTTTTTCAGTCTTAATTTTTTCTTGCACATGAAATCATACTCCCAGAGCCTCATTAACTTCCACACTAATGACTCCAGTGACTCTGAAATCTGGAGCTCTCAGTTGAGCTCCAGGTTGAAAGATTGAGCACTCAGCAACTGAATCTCAGTATTTCCATCTGAGTTCCATATGTTAAGATCACTTCTTTCTTTACTGGGGACATGGCTCAAGTGGTGGAGCACTTGCCTAGCAAGCACCAGGCTCTGAGTTCAATCCCCAGTGCAAAAAAACCCCATAAAGCTCTAATTTCCTATTAGGTTTCCAACAAGACTGTCACTTCTGACACTAGTTTTTCCCTTCCACCTGGCAATTTACAGTTCTGACATTTCTGCTACAGAATGTATTTATTTATTTATTTTTGTGATACTGAGGTTTGAACTCAGGACCTATACCTTGAGCCACTCCAACAACCCTTTTTTTGTGATGGGTATTTTCGAGATAGGGTCTCGTGAACCATTTGCCCACGCTGGCTTTGAACTGCAATCCTCCTGATCTCTGCCTCCTGAGTGCTAGAATTACAGGCGTGAGCCACTGGCTGTTGGCTTGAATGTCTTTTAAAACCATCTTTCGTTTCTCTCAATTTACTGCTAATGTTGTATTTTTTAAGATATTTGTTTATTGCCTATGAATATATTTTACTAAAACAACTTAATCCTGTCCCTTGTGTCTCCTCATTCATTTTCACTCTAAGGACAGAATAATCTTAAAAAATAATTTTTTTAACTAAAGTGTATGAGGTTCATGTAACTGGAATCTACAACATATTCACTTTTTCCTGCCTAGCTTCTTTAGCTAAATGTATGTCTGTAAGGTTCACTCATATACCTTACTACGCCTCATTGCAATTCATTAACTCTTGTTGCTATGTAGTATTTCATTGCATGGATATACTGTAATTTATCCATTATGCTGATGAACATTTCAGCAATTTTCAGTTTGGGGCTGTTATGAACAAGGTACTGTTACTGTTCTTAACTACATTTTTTGGTGACCATACCCTTTTGTCTTGAGCTTACGCTTCATAGTGAGTTGCTGAGCTTTGGAGTATGTGTGATGGTCTTTAGTAGTTAATCTCAAATCAAAAATGGTGTGCCAATGACTCATGGTATTTTTTGCCATTTTCATTTTAGCCATTGGAGAAGTATATAGTGTTATTTTACTATGGTTTTTATTTTAATTTATTTATTTTTTGGTGTTATGGATTAAATCTAGGTCCTTACGAATGCTAGGCAAACACAGTTATTACTGAGCTGTATTGCCAGCGTTAATATGATTTTAGTTTGCACTTTTCTTAATGATTTGAAAACTTTTTCACATGTCCATTGACCATTGTACAGCCTGTTCTGTAAACTTTTGTCTATTCTTTGCTATCTTTTGTTTCTTGTTGATTATAATAATTTTTTTTACATGTTCTCAATGCTAGATTTTTTTTTAATGAAATACATGCATTGCATGTGTCTTCTTCTCTATGACTTTTGCTTTAATCTTTCAAAAGAGTAAATTGGTTCATTTCATTCCCCTATTTAAAATCTTTTAAACATACCATTTCAGTACAAAAAAATATATGAAAATATTTTGGTAATCTTGGAGGCAAGCTCATCCTCTTGAAGTTTAAAACCCAAAGGCCACAGAAAATTTGATTACATGTGAACTAGAAATTTCTATATAACTAAATGTAAAAATTAAAGATAGGTGATAGATTAAAAGAAAATATTTGACATGAGTAACACTTACAGCATTAATAAAAACTGTATAGACTATAATGGGGTCCCATAAGATATACATGAAGATGACAGTCCAGTTAAACATTAAGCCACCAAAAAAAAAGAAAAGAAAAACACCGAAAAGGTAAATCACAAGAAATAGAAATGGCCAATAAATGCTCTCCTTACTACAGGGAAAGGCTGATAAAAACAAAACTAGAATTTTCTGCCCATCAATTTGGCAAAAAATGAAGACTGCTAATGTTATCAAGTGGGAGTTTATATTGCTCACGTTGTTTGGGGGTGCAGTTTGCCGTAGTAAAAATAGAAGTTATATTCTTCTTAAACTGAATTTAAGAAATTTGCCATAAAGAAGTATTTGTACTTGTGAACCAAAGTAGATATCAGAATGTTCATTAAAGTCCTGTTTATAGTAGTAAAATATTGAAAACTAACTATATGTCTGTCAAAAGGAAACTGACCAAGTAAGTTGTGGGATGTTCATTCTTATGGAATGCTTTGCAGATGGAAAAATGAAGGCAACTGAGCTGTATTAAGACATGGAGGGATCTTGTTTATAGGGCAGTGTTTGTTCTTTTGATTCCATTTGTGTGTGTGTGTGTGTGTGTGTGTGTGTGTGTGTGTGTGTGTGTGTTGTGTGTATCTGAGACAGGGTCTTGCTGTGTAGCCCAGGCTGGCCTCAAACTCACTGTGTAACCCAGGTCAAACTTGCTTTGTAACCCAGACTGGACTCCATCTCGTAATCCTGCCTGAGCCTCCTGGGTGTTGGGATTATATATGTGCACCGCCACACCTGGCAGTTCATTTCTTTAATGAGAAAATGTAAAGGTTTATTTTTATGCATCATTAAACTGTTAACAGTGTTACCATTGCAGTAAGGATGGTAGTTGAAGGAATATAAAGGGAACTTGTTTATTTTCATGCAATAAATTACTAGAAGTAAAGTTGTTAGATTAAAAGTTTGAATGTTCTTAAGGATTGTACCTATAGTAACAAATTGTTTTACAGGATGGATGTACTATTTTACATTGCTACCACCAGAGAGTGAGCAGGTCCTTTATCTGAACCCTCACAAACAATACTATAATTAGGAAAAAATAACTCAATAATACTTGAAAAAGGCATATTTATGTATTATTTGCTTTTTTCTGTTTTTGTGAATTTATTGTGTTATTTACTTGTTCTGTTCATTAGTAAGAGTTTTTTACATATAAAGAATGTCATTTTCTTAATGTGTTGCATGTATTTTTCTGTTATATATTTAAAATATTTTCTGCTTTGTTAAATATGCCATTCTAATCATATTTAATATATTTCCAGTTACTTAGGATCATTTTATGAATCAATTTTTGTAATGTAATTGTGCTAACCTCAAACTATGAGATGTATGAGACATTGTAGACTCTTTTTTTGAGTTCCATCCTATACTTTGTGTTTTCTGTTTTGTTCCTTTTCTTATATTCTAGGAAAACATTTGAATTTTGGCTATAATATTTATATTATATATGGATATATAGAGTACTCTTTGACTGAAGACTCAAATGTCTCACCCTTGATTGGGTGGTTGGAAATTGAGTACTTAAAGCCATTTTCTCATTTCTTATATGGTCTGTATTGATGAAATTTCCAGATAGTGGTTTTTACATGGCTAAGGCATTCATAATACTTTCAAAAACACTCTCATTCTCCTCAATTAATTACTGTTTACTTTCTGGATATTTAATGATAGAAGTTAAGAATGTTCTCGAGCCAATTAATTGGCTCCTTATGTGCAGCATATCAATGGAGTACAAAATACTAACTAGAGATAACTATAATTAATTTATTAAATTCAGTATCTGCAATCATTTTATGTAGAAAAACTATATGACCTTAAAAATTTAGTAATTGCTTTCTGTCTGAAAAATGTGATTTAGTCTTTTATAATTCACTGAGATATCATCATATTCCCAACATAAAATGAGTAATCAAGTTTGGTCACATACATGATGAATACATAGCTACACCCTAAGTCCCCAAGCATGAATGAGTAATTGCATTCTAATGCATTGGAACTATACATGACAATGACATCTGTTGCCTGTGTTTAAGCAGTCAAGTTAAAGTACTCTTTAGTGGTTTTTAGTTCCTTTTTTTTTTCTTTTATTATTCATATGTGCATACAAGGCTTGGTTCATTTCTCCCCCCTGCCCCCACTCCCTCCCTTACCACCCACTCCACCCCCTCCCTCTCTCCCCCACCCCCTCAATACCCAGCAGAAACTTCCTCTTATTTCTTTACCTCAGGTTAAGAAATGATCTAAAGGATTAAAAATTAGCTTGAGAAAGTACCTAATTCAGCTTGTGGTCAGTGAAACCTTCACCGTCATGGATTAGGATAGGAGTCATTGAATTTCTTCCTTCAGGCTTCTTGGCATTTATGGCACATGAGGGTGTGGGATGCTCCTGATAGTAGCCATTGAAAACTGCTACCTGCTGTAATAAAAGACCTTCACACCATTCTTCTTTCTCCTTTATTTTTGACTGTACTGGTTTCTAACTTTGGGCTTTACTCTTGCTAGGCTCTACCACTTGAGCCATATGCCCAGTCCTTTTTTGCTTCAGGTATTTTTCAGGGAGGGTCTTAAGGTTTTTGTCTGGGGCTGAACTTCAATCCTCCTACCTATGCCTACTGTGCAGCTGGGATCACAGGCATGCACCACCATGCCTAGCTTGTTGGTTGAGATGAAATCGTTCTAATTTTTGCCCAGGCTGTAAATAGTCTTTATCTCCACCTCCTAAGTAGCTGGGATTACAGATGTGTACTACCACATCAGCTTTCCTTTTTCTTTTTTCCTTTAAAACCAACCTTTATATCTCTTTCATCAGAAAAGATTTGATGCATCAGATCTATTGAGATGGATAATTCTTATCTAAGGAAATAGTCAACTAAAATAAAATTGTTAAAAATCCTTTAAGTTAGCATATGTGCATTCTAACACTAATGTATACACTAGCATTAAAATTAATTTAGCTATAAATCAGTTGTCTCACACATAAAAATGACAAGTTACAGAAGTAATGTTGCACCTAATATAACTTTGCTCAGTGCTGAAGATTGAAGCCAGGGCTTTCTTCATGCTAGGCAATCACTGTACCACTGAGCTAATTGTAACTTTTAAATTCATGTTAACAGAAGACCCAATCCTCAGACAACCCCAAATCACTTTCAGAAAACCCAGAACCCTTAAAAGTATATGCTTTTCATAAAGAAATCAATCAATCACGTGATTTTAGTTCTTTATTTAGACACTATTTATTACTCTTATTCTTCTGTTTTAGAAGAATGTTATTCTAATGAAAGAACCTCCATTTAAATTTGTGTAAGATTAATTTTTAAAAGCTGTAACTTTATATAGATAATTGCGATACTTTGACAAATAATGGAATTTTTCTTTTAAAGATTCTGACAATGGTGATATTAATTATGACTATGTTCATGAGTTATCATTGGAAATGAAGCGTCAGAAGATACAGAGGGAATTAATGAAGCTGGAGCAAGAAAACATGGAGAAGAGAGAAGAAATCATCATTAAAAAGGAGGTATCCTATTTATTGCAATACATGCTGGTAATTAATATCAACATGGATATTGATCACAGAAATCAGCTGCTTGCTGCATCTTAAATTATATGAGAATACTGATACATTGATCAACTCACTGCATATTAACTACTCCATTTCTGTTAATCATTTAATCTTTACATTAATCTATTAGATAATAGGAAATATTTTTTGATGTTGAACAAAATTGAAACTCTGTTGCCTAGAATTACAAGCTAATATAAAATGGGATTTGAGTCTGCATGTCTGTTTTAGGCACATGCTGTTTCTAAAATGCCTTGTTCACTTTTCTAAAGTACAGAAATAAAATTCATTTGAAAATAACTTATGATACTTCTTTTCTTTTTGCAATACTAGGGTTGGAACTCAGGGACTTGCACTTGCTAGGCAGGCACTTTTATCACTTGAGCCAACCCCCAGCCCTTTTTGCTTTAGTTATTTTTTCCAATATAGGGTCTTGCGTTTATGCTCAGGAAGATCTGGACCAGATCCTTCTATTTATGCTTCCCACATAGCTGGATTGCCAGCTTTTATTGGTTGAGAATGGGGTCTCACTAATTTTTTTGCTTGGGATGTCCTTGAACCTGATCCTCCCAGTCTCTGCCTCCTGAGTAACTAGGATTATAGGTGTGAGCCACCACAAATGGCAATACATGATTTTTCTGAGGAGTTTAATTTGTGTTCTTGATACTGGTGTATGTTAGAGCAGTTTATTATCTTAGGCTAAACACATGATTTCAGGAGTTAGAATAATATCAATAAATGGTAAATTGTAGTAGTACTTAATTTTTAATCTGATAGGTTTTTTTAAAAATGATTTTAAGATGTATGCTTTGTTGTATAGTTAGTGGATAAGTTTCTGAATTAATTCCCTGAATTCTTTTGAAAGGTTTCACCAGAAGTGGTTAGATCAAAATTGTCTCCATCACCTTCTCTAAGAAAGTCTAGCAAATCTCCAAAGCGAAAATCAAGCCCCAAGTCATCTTCAGCTAGCAAGAAAGATAGGAAGACATCTGCAGTATCGTCTCCTTTGTTGGACCAGCAGAGGTCAGTAAGGTGATAGTGCCAGAAAGCAGTATCTTTTTTGAAAGGTAACTAAAAGGAATTACTTAGTGGGTTATAGGTGGGTACATTTAGTACATTTGCTACTTAGAGTAAACTTTTTTAACTTATTTTAAAAGTAAAAGAAAATTGTACAGAACAATGAAACAAATATGTCACATTCTTATATGCTTCAGAGCTTTCTACTTTTTAAGAAAAAAAGCATAATATGTACATTTCTTATCCTCTACTATTAGTTTGGTGTTTATGGGCATGCAGGTTTATATATTCACTAATATATATTATTTTGCGTATTATAGTATTGCTTTCATCCATGTAATGCAAATATATCATGTGACTTTCCTTGTCCAACTTATTTCACTTAAGTTTTATATTTATCTATTTTGATACATGTAGTCTTAGCGCATTCATTTTGAATACATATTCATTTGTTTTTCTGTTAAACATTTGTTTTCAGGTTTTAGGTATTAGAAAGTATGTACAGTAAACATTTTTGTTATCTCTGTGCATGATGAAGAGATTAGATTTTTTAAGATATGCATCTAGCAGATGGGTATATTATTTAGAATTATTGTAGTAGCCAGCTGAAGAAATAAAAATAGAAATGAGTAACATAATTACATCAGTGACTAAGAATAAGGCAGCAGACATATTTCTGGTTTTCTTTTAATGACAATATTGGGGATTGAATTTAGGACCTCATGCTTGGTAGGCAGACATTCCTCTTGAGATACTCCACCAACTCTTCTGGTGTTAGTTATTTTTGAGATAGGGTCTTGCTTTATGCCTGGACTGGTCTGTACCATGATACTCCTGTTTGTGCTTTCTTGCTCAGTTGGGATGACAGGGATGTGCTACCATGCCCAGGCATTGGTTGAGATGGAGTCTCATGAACTTTTTGCCTGGGCTGGCCTTGAACAGTGATCCTCCTGATCTCCACTTCTCACCTAACTAGATTACATTCTTGAGCCACCAAGTCTGGCTGCAGCAGACATGTTTTTTCATGTATTATCACTCTACTATTTAAATTTTATTTTGAGTAAAGAGTATATACTGATTTTACTTTTTTAATAACTAAAAACCTGCCTAATATTTGATCACTTGACAAATACTGTCTGTCTCAATTTATAATGAGGCTTATATTTGTCTCCTTTCTTTTATTTTGTAGAGACACTCACTGTAAATCAGACTCCAGTTACTTTTTGCCTAGATTATTATATCATTTAACTGTATGTGCATTATATAGTGTCAGCCCTGCCCAGACATACATGTTTTCAATCAACTCCTCAACCCATTCATTTTACAGATGCTGTTAGAGAAATCTTAAAAGAACAAGTTGATCAACTTATTATACCATTGAAAAACTCAGTGGCCATTCTATAGAATGAAATTGAGATTCCTTAAAAAGACATTCATACTTTGATCTTTTCTGTCTTGTCACTATTTCTATTATCCCTCCTACCTGCAGTTTTCTATCCTCAATCTTTTGATCTCTAGCTTAAATTCTAAATTTTCCATTAAGTTTTCCCATTTCTCCTTATTGAACATAATTTCTGTTCCCTTTGTGTACTTATCAAATTTTGTTTATGCCTTTCTGTTCTTAATTGCCTTTTGCATTATATTTTAGCTATGATATGTATGTTTTACAACCTCTATTAAATTTAAGCCTCTTGAAAATTGGGATCTTGATGGTTCATTGTTCTGTGTTCCCACAGTGCATACTTTGCATAGAGCTTTGCATTGTAATAAGGCATTCAGTAAGGGTAACTTGATCCTCAATTTTGTTCCTGGGATTGAGTAAATATTTCAAAGGGATGTGGATGAAGTAGAACCATAGAGTGATGCAGTCCATCCCACTTTCTCTTTTTCCTTTTGACTAACCAACTATATAACTTTTCCTCAATTACATTCACTTCTCTAATAAATTGCATGCCAGACATATCCTTCCTTCAATTTGTCATTCACAAAATCTTTGAAATTTAATCTTTTTACAGAATATTTTAATTACTATTTAGATGAAGGATTAATTTATCTGTTTTTTATATTATCTCTTTTAGCACTTGGTTAGAGGCTCATCCTTTGATAAATATTTGTCTCATTGACTTAATTTCTATATCTCCTATATTCCAATATGTTTTTGACTTTAATGTTCACTTTACGTTAACGATAGAGCATAAGGTCCTGGGAAACAGTACATTAAAAATACAAAGAAAACACTGAGTTACGTATAGTGTTTCTTTATGCAGTTTACATTGCCTGGAGTATGTCAGATAATCTGCTTTTAATTTTTTTGCCATCCAGCAATGAAAAAAGCTATAAAACTATAAACTGCTTGAAAATGTATTAAAAACAAGTAAGGATTAGAATTTCAGTTAAAATTCAGTGGTATTTCAAACAATACTAGTAAGTTAAATGGGATACCTGGCAGGTGAACAAACTTCTTGGTCTTACTAGGTTATCATTCTGAGTGGACAAAAATAATTACTGACAAATTAAGCCTAATACTTCTCCCTGAAAGCAGGCATTTTTCTTTAACATTCTAAGAGCTAGTATGATGGTAAGATTTATTCAGAGATGTGAGGTACAATGTGATTTAAAATAATGAATATTTTATCTATTCTGTCCATCTGCAGTTTTAATCTTATTTTTTATTAGGTAAATTTTTCTTGATACTTCTTTGCACAGAAAATTAGGAAATCTGTCAAAAGCTGTTTAAAAGAAGTAGTTTAGAGAGAAGAATCTAAAAATGATAAAAGTAGACAAGTAGACTCTGCCAAAAATAGGAAGTGGATTCAATACTACTAAAAGAATTGACTTAAAAAGATGTCAGACAGTTTTGTTGATTTCACAATGCAACATTCTCCTTCCTTCCTCTGGAAAATGATGCAGTATAACATAATTGTGTTTTCCAAACACATATATTACTAGAGGTAATGTGAAAAAGTCTCTCTTTAGTAAGTCTATTAGGATAATCCTGGTTATAATAACAGCTAAATTCCAAAATGTCAGTGGTGTAACATAACAAGTTTACTTCTTATTCAAGTGAAATCAAAATGGGTATTTCTAATTAATAGCTGTTGTCCTATACATGGAAATTCAGTGACCCAGGTGCTTTCTGACTACATGACTCTTATTTTCTTGAACTTTCAAGGAAACCAAAGAGTGGAATATATGAGGAAAAAAATTAATTGAATATTGCATTCATTTAGCTCCGTACTTTGTAATTGCATGGTCTATACCTTCCTTAGAGAATCAGGACTAGATGTACCATATATCATTTTTGCTCACGTTTCTTTGGCCAGATCTTGGTCCCTTGGCCACCTCTAATTTCAAAAACGTATAGTCAGTATGGTTCAGCATAGTGCCTAGGAGAAAAGATTGATAAACATCAGTTAGTTTCTGTGACAGGCACTAATATGAAAATACAGTTTCTGCAAGAATTCGTCTATCATTCTTATCTTTGAATTTTTAATACAGGTGCCAAGTATTTAGTTTCTATCTTTAAAGTGGGCAAATATTTGAAGATAAGAATATTTATTACTAATCTGTTAGATGCATAAGAAGTCTGAGTCATCTCATAAATATGCAGTGAAATTTGTGGCTAGTATGCTTTTATTCATAGAAGGCAAGGATGAAAATAGATCTGGTCATTATATTTTAGTAATTTCTTAAGCAAGTTCTTAAGTGATAATAAGAAATAGGGATAAGGACCAAGAGAGCTAAATTTTTTGAATGCTAACCATGAGTCAGATGCTTTTATCCTTTTAAAATCTTACCACTAATTTTAAAGACTAAATTGCTATCTTTATGTCTGAGGAAACTTGAGACTAGAAGACTCAAGATAATAGGAAACAAGTTCTAGGATTTAGGCTTATGTCCTCCCTTACAAATGTCAATAGATAATAAAACGAATTGATACTAGAAAGTCACCAGATGTATGAAAACAAAGAGCCACTTAAAAACCCAGTACCAGTCTGAATACTCAGAATAGATGTCTTACACAGAAGTGTTGATACAGAAAACAGGACCAAATTTAATTATTAAAATAATTCATAATTTGGTACACTTGAGGGAGTATTGCATTGACAAGTTGAGTTACTGATTTGGGAGAAAAATTTGATTAGAACATTTTGGGGGAAAAAAGGTTTTCAAACTGAAAATAAAAGAATAATGAGATTGCCAAATTTAGAATTAGTAGGGTGGTTGCTAGTTAAAAGAAAAATTATTGAGTTTGAACACAAGTTTAAGATATTGGAAAGTAAAATGAGAAAGGAATGACATGAGAGGTCTAGGAATTGGAGTAAGAGTATAATAACTCGAAGAGATTTTGGCTGTACAAAGCAGTGATGAAAAAAACAATGAAATTGAGGAAATTCAGAGTGCAACAGTCCATTGAGTGCTGGCTAAGACTGAAAAAAAAAAACTTGGATTTGGAAAATTTTTTTTATACCTCCCAAGGATTAATATTTTATAGGTGTTCCAACAGAAAAGCCAGTTCACCTGAAAAGAAAAAAAATTGAATGTTTGGACTTCACATCTGTGGCTTTAAATGCTATAAACATAACTATTTAGAGAGCTTTTACAAAAAAAGAATTTTGATAGGAAAATGCTATGCAGTAAACTGTTGTTCAAGCCAGTTTTAGATGCATAAGGGATCAAAGTTATACCACTTATATAAAATTGAAGTGCCTAATGAAAGATAGTCTGTACCCAAAAATCAATTATAAGTTGATTAAAGACTTAAATGTGAAAAGTAAAATTCTATAACTTTAGGCCATATTTGTGATTTAAGAATTGAGAATTGAAAACTACCTGAAAAACTTACGAGTATGAAATTTATTGAAGAAGTTATAGGGCATCTACTTAAGGAAATCCTGTATAATCTGTAACAGGAAATCCTATATAATCTGTTGAAGTGATTACCTAATTCTAGTTTTTGTTATAGAAAAATGCCCATGTGCCCCCAGCCAGAAAACAAAAATGCAGTGTGTATATGTAAGAGAGCGATTAACAGTTGTTTCCAATGATGAGAAAATAGGTTAACTCTCTAAATGTGATTTGCAAATATTTTCTCCCATGCTGTAGGTTGCCTTTTCACTATAGACTGTATCCTTTGACACACAAATTTTTTTTCTTCATTTTTCTTTTATTATTCATATGTGCATACAAGGCTTGGTTCATTTCTCCCCCCTGCCCCCACCCCCTCCCTTACCACCCACTCCGCCCCCTCCCTCTCCCCCCCCTCAATACCCAGCAGAAACTATTTTGCCCTTATCTCTAATTTTGTTGTAGAGAGAGTATAAGCAATAATAGGAAGGAACAAGGGTTTTTGCTGGTTGAGATAAGGATAGCTATACAGGGCATTGACTCACATTGATTTCCTGTGCGTGGGTGTTACCTTCTAGGTTAATTCTTTTTGATCTAACCTTTTCTCTAGTACCTGTTCCCCTTTTCCTATTGGCCTCAGTTGCTTTAAGGTATCTGCTTTAGTTTCTCTGCGTTAAGGGCAACAAATGCTAGCTAATTTTTTAGGTGTCTTACCTATCCTCACCCCTCCCTTGTGTGCTCTCGCTTTTATCATGACACACAAAATTTTTTATGTTTGATATAGTCCCCATTTTCTATTTTGCCTTTGTATGCCTTAGTTGTCATAGCTAAGAAACCGTGGCCAAATCTAATGTTAAAAAGCTTTTCCTCCCTATTTTCTTCTAGGAGTTTTTTAGGTTTATGTTTAGGTCTTTAATCCAGATTGAGTTAATTTTACATATGGCACAAGAGACAGTCCAGCTTCATTTTTTTGTGTGTGAATATCCAATTTTATGTGAGTAAATAAGAGAAAGAAAGAGGCATGGGAAAGTGTGGAAGAATATCAAATGTTAACAAGTTATTTTTAGGTAATAGAATTATAGGTGATTTTTACTTCATCTACTTTTCTATTTGAGCTTTAAAATGCACTAAAGCAATTATTTTGTTTAATAATAGAGTTAATAAAATAAGTAGCAAGTAATTCTTTGCTTTCTGTAAGGTCCTCCCTGCCAGTATTACTTACTAGTATATAACATAGTAACTGGAAAGAATGGTGCTATTTTTTTTTTAAATCCATTTGATATTCCAAAAATATTTGAATCTTTAATGATAGCTTTTTCTTTCCTTCAGGAATTCAAAAGGCAACCAAAGTAAAAAGAAAGGGCCACGTACTCCCAGTCCACCCCCTCCTATACTAGAAGATATTGCTCTGGGGAAAAAATACAAAGAAAAGTATAAAGTGAAAGATAGGATAGAAGAAAAACCAAGAGATGGAAAGGAAAGAGGACGGGACTTTGAAAGGCAAAGAGAAAAAAGAGACAAGCCAAGGTAAGTAGGATTGCATGTTTTATTTAAACAATATTACTTTTTTGTAGAATATAGAGTATTTATTGTGCAGATGCTTTAGGCATTAGTATAATGGGATTTTTGTTTTATTTTCAACTGTAAATATTATGTTTAGTAGTTCTCATAATGACTTGTGGGTAATTTAGTAAACATTAACTTAAAAATACCACCATCTTAACCTTTTTTAAATGTACAATTCAGAAGTATTCAGTAAATGATTTAGTAAATTATGAAACAGAACTCTAGAACTTTTGTTTTTTGGGTTTTTTTTGCAGTTGTTACAAGTAACTTTTATTTGTATTATTTTATTGTTTTTGCATTTACTTACATGTGTATACATTATTTGGGCCACTTCCCTCCGACCCCACCCTTCAGGCAGAACCTGTTCCACCCTCTTGCCATTTTGCAAATCTGAAACTGTACTCATCAAACAATAACTTTCCTGTTTTTCCCCTTCTAGCCATTGGTAACCATCATTGTACATATGTTTCTGTCAATTTGAATTTGACAGTTTTCAGTACCTCATATAAGTAGAATCTTACAGTATTTGACTTTTTCTGACTGACTTCTCTTAGCTTAATATCTTAGGGCTCATCTTATAACATGACAGAAATTCTTTTGTTTTTTTTTAAGGCTGAATAGTATTTCATGTGGCACAAACCGTAATTGTTTATTCATTCAGGTGTTAATGGACATTTGTGTTGCTTATACCCTTTAGCTGCTAGAATAGTACTGCTATAACATGGGCATACAAGTCTATCTTCAAGACTCTACTTTCAGTTGCTGTGGATAGATACCCAGAAGTAGGATTGCTAGGTTACATGATAGTTGTATTTTAAGTTTTTGAGGAATTTCCATACTATTTTCCATGGCAATTACACCATTTTACAATCCCACCAATAGTATACAATAAATTCTGCGTGATCAAGGTATGTGATCCTTTTAATGTGCTGTTGAAATAAGTTTACTAGTATTTTGTTGAGGATTTTTGCATGAGTTTTCAATAGGGTTATTTTCCAGATTCACAAGATTTATGAAATGCTTATAGATTTGATAAGAAACATATCCCTTGCTTCTTTTTGAATTGTTTCCAAATTTGTTCTTTCATGAAATTAGTATTTGTTTAGGGAAATTATAATTCTTCAGAGGGATCTCAGTCTCTTCTTTTTGAGTTACTGTGTAATGAAAAATGGACAAGCCATGAATTTATACAAACAAGACATTTTAACTGGCTCTGCCAATAGAACACCCTGAACTAACAAGTTACTTCTTCTCTCAAAGCCTCTTTCTTCAGCTATAGAATGTGCATTAATATTACCTGTTTGGATTCAGGTCAGGATTAGATGAGGTAATGCTTTTAAATTCTAAGGTAAAATGCTTTAAAAACACATACTTTTTACATTAGAATAGCAGTAATTTCAGATTAACTAACCTTATATTCTAGAATTGGTTGGTTTCTTATCTGCTATTCTAAGGAGAAGTACTTTAGTTATTTCTGTTACAGTCTATAGCCAAAGTGCTAATAATTTTGATCAGATTTCACCATAGTTTCATTGCTTTGAGTCACACCTTTTACACATGCAGAATGGGCAAAGGTCCAGGTCCAGTTAGACTCTTGATCTATAATTTGACCCATCTTGTCTTAATCATCAGGTATTCTCTTTTCACTATTAAACTTTTAAAATAATGCTAACAGAAAAAAAATAAAGATACTTAAATTAAGACAACAACTTTCTGAAATTGAAAGGATGTATAAGAAGAAAATACACTTAAAATGATAACACTATTACTTGATAACACATTAGTTTTCTATCCTTAAATATGTTAGTTTGATTATCTTAAGCTTGAACTAAAGTTCTTTCTTTCATGCTATAGGCAACAAATTTGAATTGAAATGTGATTGGCCTATAATGTGTTTTTTAAAGATGTTCTAAATAAATTATTTTGGATTTAGCATTCTCAGAACTAATCACCAAAGACTTACAGATATTCTTGAACCAATTTTAAGTATACCCCAAAGATAAACTTAAAGAGATACTCTTCATTTTATTAACTTAGATATTTCTAAATTGACTAACACTTTATGAAATTTACCAGACGATAGTGATTTTCTTGTTTAGTGGGGTGCATTTGAAATGGTGTTGATCATAAGCAGTTTTCTAAATTTAGGTAAGACTTATTATGTGTTTCCACTTGTATTTGTGAATAAACAAATTTCTGTTTGGAGTCAATTAAATTTGAGTGGCTATGACTTATTTTTATTGGAAAGGACTAGCAATTTTTATGAAAAGCATATGCTTCAGTGGAATCACAGATAACTGGATGTTCAGATGAATGTTTTATTTTTTAGTCAACTATTACCCATAAGATATTTTTGTTTATTTGCCTAAATACTTCTTAATACATTGGATCATGTTCCTGACTTTACTAACATATATTTTATAGATTTAAACCTTTTATTAATGAAAGATCTATACAGGGATCATTTATAAACAACATAGCGGAGTAGCAGGGGTAATTTTGCCTTCTAGGGAACATCTGGCAATGTCTGAAGTAATTTGTATTGTCACAAATCAGGATGGAAGGGCTGCTACTGGTCTAGTGAGCATTGGCCAGCGATGCAGATAAACATTGTACAATGTACAGAACCTCCTTTCCCCCCGCAAAGAATTGCCCAATATAAAACATCAGTAGTACAAAGGTTTAGAAATCCTGGTTTAGAATTAGTAATGATTTTGTCACGATTGCAGATGGTTTTTAAAAAATTATAAGCAGTGAAGTAATTCCAGAATACTTTGACTAGAATGTCAGAACTTTTTCTGAATAAGCATCTAATCCCCCAAAATTATTCCTTTGAGCAATATTTTTGTTTGGGTGTCTGATGTCTCGAATGTTCTTTTTAAAATACTGGTACTTTTTAGTTATATGTGCTCCATCTCTCAGATACAGATTATGGCATGATTCATGTGTATTCCTCTGTAGCATTGAGAGATGATTTGAAGGGACTGGAGGCCTTAATTAAAGAGGAATTATATACTGAGTCTCAGTTTGTCTTGCCTACTAATAAAGGCAGATTATTTAAGGTAAAAGAGCAGATGCTTTGTTTCTTTTCCTTAGGCAGCACAGACTTTGCTTGCCTTACCTGGCATAGCTTTCCCCTTTAGTTAGCAGTATGGGGTTTGAACTAAGGGCCTCATGCTTGCTAGGTAGGTGACTGACACTTGAGACATGCCCCCAGCCATTTTAGCTGTAATTATTTTTTGAATGAGGTCTCACTTTTTGGCCAAGAGCTGGCCTTGGACTGTGATCCACTCACGTGGATCATGTGGTCCCATGTGGATGGGACCACAGGCACTTAATACCATACCCAGAGAGTCTCATTAGCTTTTTTGCCTGGAGTGTCTGTCCTTGAACCATGATCCTCTTGATTTCTGCCCCCCAAGTAGCTAGGATTGGTAGCTGAGATTGCAGGTGTGAGCGACCACACCAAGCCCATAGCAGCTTCCTTTTTCCCACAGCCTTGAATTTAAAAGCATTCTCACAGCTACTTCCTATCTAGATCTTATTAGTGTGTTTTCTTTGTAGATGGTTGTGGGTTTTCCCCCATCAGATATTTTGAGTTAATGCCATGCTTTAAGTTAGGATACACACTTTTTGCTCAAGGAGAATGTTGCTCGGAAAAGATAGTGTGCCTTGACACCAAAACTTGTGAGAAAGGCACTATATATTTCTTCAAGAGCTGTCACTTCCACTTGACTTACAAATGAGTCACATCTTTAAAAAAGCAACTTACTTGTAATATTATAGCATTGTGAGTTAAAATTTTGTTTTTGAAGATTTTCCTTTGCCTAGAATTGAAGGCTCTTGAGCACATTTTTCACTGTTGTTTTCCCTCATAGATCTACTTCCCCAGCAGGACAGCATCATTCCCCTATATCTTCTAGACATCACTCATCGTCCTCACAGTCAGGATCGTCTATTCAAAGACATTCTCCTTCTCCTCGTCGGAAAAGAACTCCTTCACCATCTTACCAGCGGACGTTAACTCCATCTTTACGACGTTCTGCTTCTCCTTATCCTTCACATTGTTTGTCTTCTCCTCAGAGAAAGCAAAGCCCTCCAAGACACCGCTCTCCAATGCGAGAGAAAGGGAGGCACGATCATGAACGGACTTCACAGCCACATGATCGGCGTCAGGAAAGGCGGGAAGGTACGCAGCCTCGCGGGTTCTTTTCCTTAGGTTGTATGCATTAAAATTATAATAAGGGATGGAGGAGGACTGTGCTATGTAAGTTTTCTGGTTCATGCAGACCAGGGAAATTGGAGATGCTTAAAGAGGCACAGGAATGTAAAGTATTGAGTATGCACAAGTGAGCATTTGCAGGTGTGCAAGGTTAGCACCTTTTTTAAGATGTTTCTTCAGTACAGTTGACCATCTGATTGTTGAAGAGTATCCCTTTCAGTTAGCTAATGTCTTTTAAAACCAAGGAGGTGGTTCTGGGTGTATGCTCAGTGGTGGAATGCTTGTCTAGCTTTTATGAGGCCCTGACTTTGATTCCCATCATCAGAAAAAATTTTAAAAATTAAAAAAAAAATCCAAGGAGACAAAGGGGGAAAAAGCAGCAAATTGGAGCAGAGTTAGAAGCATTAGAAGTGTGGAAGTGTTTTGATAAAGGGGTGATGACTGGGGAAACTTTGAGACTGCCAGTGTAACCAAGTCAGTGTAACCAAGTCAATGAATTTCTAGGTGTAAATCATAATGAAGAAGGGACAAATTTCTGCTGATACAGTAGAGCTGTTGTTTAGCATGTGGGAAGCCCTGCATTCTGTCCCCAGCATTGCACAGAAAGAGCTAAACAAAGATTCTCCTTTCTAGATCCATGAGAATTAAGTTAATGTTAGACATGATCCTCCTCATTCAAGCTAAGATGATGCACAGCCCAGTAGTTCTCATCGTCCTATACTTCTTGTCCTTGTTTATTTAATTGTTAAGTTTTTTTATTGTTCTTGTTGTTTTTTGGGAACGGGTCTTCCTTTGTAGTGCAGGCTGACCTAAAACTCACAATCCTTTCTCAGTCTCCCTAGTGTTAGGATTACACACAGGTATGTGCCACCATTCCTGGGCTGAGGTGTTTTGTTTTCATTTTCATTTTTTATTGCAGTTCTGGGGGTTGATCTCAGTGCCTTGCATTTGCCAGGCAGGCATTCTACCACTTGAGTCACTCCTCCAGCCCGTGAGTTGGCTTTTGAACTTAGTGAGTACTCAGGAAATAACTTGCTTACTTGCAGCAACATTTCTTTTACTATGACTTTTAAATGCCTCTCTGTGAGTATAGCATTATACGCACAGAGAATGATGAAACTTAGTTTTTCTCCTCCTATCAACAATGCCAGCAATATTTAATCAAATTCTTTTATTCATGAAAACGGCTGATTTATACATAGGATCCAGAAAAAGCACCTAGTTGATAGACTTATTCCTTGTGTACAAGATTTTTGAACCAGATCAGCTCAGCCGTGTATATGGAACATTGTTTATGTTAGTTTTGGGAGCACTTGATGGAACTTCAGCACAATGTTTATAGAACATTGATAAAATGGGAAAATTATTAATTTTAAGAAGATATTTAACAACTATAGTTGACCAAGAATATAGTACATATTCAATGACTACTTATTGAATGAAAATTCTTTATTACTATTAAACATCCTAATGAAAGGAAGATAATATGCAGTCAAGTCTCATACTTTTTTTTGATAAGAAGAGCTTGTGTTACAGCAAGTATGTAAAGTGGATTTTTCTTTAAGAGAAATGTTACAGGTGTTTATTTCTCTCTATTTAAATGTTCTTTACTGAAATAAGGATGGTTGCATTAGAAGGATGAGTAGGTGGGTAAAGAATAGAATACAATACTTAAATGTATTTGTAAAGACAATGGGTGTGCATCATGAAAAAGGATCTGGAACAAGTGAACTTGTTTTAAGTGACATTTGGTCTTGGTGGAGGAATAGAAGTCACAGTGGTGCACAGAAAGGGATAGAGCCTTGCCTTTGCTTCTGTCCTTAAGCAGATCTAGTGTCTGGGCAAAGGCCTTAGCAAGGGAGATAGGTTATTGATGTGAGTCTACGGGCATTACAGATACTAAATATTTGAGTCCTCGAGAAAGTCTATGCACCTAGCCACCAGGGGCAAGAGAAAATGAGGTAAATTTACAATGTTTTGGGCATAAGGCTGCTACTAAAATAGCCTCAGATTAGGATAATTCCAGGATATAAGAGCACCTGTTAAAGGGGTGGGATTATTTAGAATTATCATTAATTTTTTTGGTGATACAACAGATTTGTGTTATAATCAATCTATGCCTTTTCTAGGCTTATCTAAATAGTAGATTCTAGTCTTTGCAAATTCCGTGGAAATATGAGGTGACTAAATCATCTAAGCCTCAGGCCTCTATTTCGTTATATATAAAATGACAAGGTTGATTTATGTAATCAATGAGTTCTAATTTTAAAAAATGAAATTATTTGATTATTAGAGACTATTACACATGAGCATGATACCATTAAGAAGCTCCAGAAGGGGGAATAACAGAATTTCACAGTATTTCTTTGCCAGCCAGCCTGCTAGCTACCAGCTACTCTCAAGTGCTTAAATACGTTTAAGTGGTTATATGTATTCTAGTGTAGCGTAATATTTCATAAAAGTGTGTGCCACCAGATCTAAAAGTGGTGTCTAAAAAGTCATCAATGATACAAATAAATGGTCCATTTGTTTGTTTCAGTTTATCTAAGTATGGATAAAGTTCATATTAATGTTTATCCAATTAAAAACAAAGTTATTAAATGTTAACAAAATTGCCTTTTGAATTTCAGCATATACATGGTTTTAATTTTATTATTTGCCCATGTTTTCTTTTTCTGTAAAGAACCTGAATTACTATTGTAATTTTACAGGCTCTATAAACTCTATGTCAAATATATTGTTTAGTTTCCTGAAACTTTGTAAAAAGAATTACAGTTGACTTCCAATTGTGTTGCAGAGACTAGAGGAAAAAGGGATAGAGAAAAAGACACAAGAGAAGAACGAGAATATGAACAGGATCAGAGTTCTTCTAGAGACCACAGAGAAGACAGAGAACCTCGAGATGGTCGAGACCGGAGAGACACTAGAGACCGCAGGGAACTAAGAGATTCCAGAGACATCCGGGAGTCTAGGGAGATGAGGGATTATAGCAGAGACACAAAAGAGAGCCGCGATCCCAGAGATTCTCGGTCAACTCGTGACTCCCATGACTACAGGGATCGTGAAAGTCGCGACACTCATCGAAAGGAAGATGCATACCAGGAAGAATCCCGGAGTTACAGCAGAAATCACTTGAGAGAAGAAAGTTCTCGTTCTGAAATAAGGAATGACTCCAGAAATGAGTCTCGAAGTGAAATTAGGAACGACCGGATGGGCAGAAGTAGGGGCAGAGGTCCAGAGATACCTGAAAAGGGTAAGGTTTTTGACTGGTCAAGAGTGAACTGTATCTTGTATGTTCACATAGAAAGTGTTAAAACTCCTAAGATTTCTTTTTGAAATGCAGTATTTCTAACATTCATTGTTATCATTTTGTCAAAGTAATTTTCAATCAGTTGAATTTGTGATTTTTTTTCTACATATTCTGTATTGGAATTACTAATTTAAGTAGCAAAATGCAAGTAAGGCCCTTGATTGGATTTATAGACTCCCTGGTCAGATTATATACAATCATCCTGATTAATGTGGAATACTAAGAAAATTACTAGCAAGCAAAATAGTAGAATCACATGAAGGTAATTTCTAATAAACTGGTCTTTATGTGATAAAAGGATCATTCAAAAGAGTTTAAATAGTAAATTTTCAAACTCAGTGATGTCAAAAATGACGGATTTTTGTATTCTTCGGTATTTGTACTTGCTTCAAACCATCACATATCAGAATCTTGAGCCATTTTTCTTTTGCAAAAAAGCATTTACCATCGCCCAACTGACTAGTATATAGTTAACGAGTTGTACATTAGTGGATGTTTAATTTTTCTAATTTTTTTCAGACAGTGGTTTATTGAAAATAACTGTGTCAGTAAAGAGAGTCTTTCAAATCATTGTATTTTCTAATGCTTATTGCTGGTTCATGGAAATGGTAATCAGTATTTATATATTAATCTTACATTAAAATGATGTTATTGTATTTTCCTAATAGCTCTAATTTTCTTAACAAATATATGGGAACAGACAGATTTGGCTCTTTGTTTCTGATTATTATTTATTTTCTGTTGTTAAGAATAACTTGTTGGGCACCTCCAGGAATAGTGTTGAATATAAATGCAATAAGCTTCTTTGCTTTGATTCAAATTTTAAAGGATTATTGTTAGTTTTTTTTTTTTTTAGAATTAGCCTTGCATTTCTCTTGGAATTTTGTCATTTTTAAAGTTCTAGAATAAGTAAATTAAAGTTTAATTTTGAATTAAGCATTTATTTCTTTAAATGTGATTGGCATTACCATCATTGGTACAATGGTAAGTGTTTAGCAACTGACTCTTCAGAAAAATGTCTTGACTTTTTTTTACCTGTTGCCAGTTCGCATGGTATAAATAACTCCTACCATAAGTGCAATTTGAGCTACTAACATAATGTTGCTGAATGTGGAGCAGGGAAGAATTACTCACAGCTATTTCTGGCATGCCAGTATGAACCAGTTCTAGCAAACCACTGCAGTTTTCTTTTTTTAACTTTGTCCTTCTTTGGGTTGGACTTCAGTTATACTAGCCATAGAAAATATATTGCTTCTTTATTCTCTTCAGAACAGTTTACATAGGATTAGTTATATGGTCTAGGAAAGTTTGGTAACATTTGTCTGATGGTTAGAGTTTTTACTGCCAAACGAGTTTCTCTAATAGTTAAAGTTTGTGTAGATTTTCTGACTGTTCTTGAAGCAGTTCTGGTAAATTTTTTTTTCCAGGAAATTTAGTTTCAAATTTTTGATAAAAAGTTATTTCTAAATTTCTTTTTTAGATCTCTCTTATATATGTACTTGTATTTATTCCCTAATTTTTTCCTTGATTAATCCTGCCAAAGGCTCATTTTGAATCTTTTCAAAGAACTAATTTATTTATGTTCTTTTGTGTCTCTTTTGTTCTGTTTCATTAATTTCTGTTGTTATATTTTACTCTTGTGAAATATGTAGTATTTCTATTAGTATCCATTGTAAGCACTTCATAAATTCTAATATGATTTCTTCTTTATTCCATGAGTTTTGTAGAAATTGGATTTTAGATTTCCAATCAGATTTTTTATAAATATCCTCACATTTTAGTTGTTGTTGGATAATATGCCATTTGAAGCCAGTTCTTTGATATGTGTATTTGTTAAATTTTATTTTGTGGTTACTCAGTTTTAAGTGTTGTGCATTGCTTGTATTTTTAATAGTTCAATGCGAAGTGTGTTTCTAACATCAAGTTTGTTAACATTTTCAAATCTCCATCTAATTTTTCTAATGTCTGCTTATTTTAGCATTATAGAGGTGAATTAAGCCTTACATTATCATTGTGAAATTTGTGGATTTGTCATTTTCTTTATAGTTTGATCAGTTTTTCAATGGATTATTTTAAGACTTTGCTGTTAAATGTATTCACCTTATGTGTATAAGGTGAATTACTCCCTTGTCATTGTAGGATGACTCTTATCCCTGACAGTGCTTTTTGCCTTGAAAGTTATTTTGCTGACAACTCTCTTGGTTAATATGTGTTTGATACATCTTTTCCCATTCTTTCAACCTTTCTGTATTCCTCTGTTTTAAATGTAACTCTAAGCAACGTACGGCTATTAGACCTTTGTTGACTCTCCCATCGTATCCTCCGTGATTCTTAACTTTCCTTTCAAGTTTTTCATTGTTTTAAACTTTGTTTTGCCTTCTGGGTCTTAAACTCAGACTTTTCTTACCACTTTTCACTGCATCTAATCTCATGTCTAAACTTTTCATTCTTAGATGTTATATTTAGCCCTTTTTTTGTCTTTAAAGTGTCTTAAATTTTTCTTCCTGATCTTTAAAACATTCTTTGCAGATAGATATTTAGATATTAAAATACCCTGTTAAATTATTTAGAATTGTCATCTAATTATTTTAGAGCTGAAAACCTGTTTTAAGTAAATTCTATGTGGTGGTGTGTTTTAATATTGGAGAAGTGCCACCTGATTGTTGCTTTGGATGAGGTGGTTTTTCATGAGTTCTTTTAGATTTGGAGTAAACTCATTTTCATCAGGGTTGCTCCATGGTAAATTCTGTGAGGTCGAAGGCAGAACCTTCCAGAGTTTTTGGCTTTGTTTTTGCCAGATCTTCATTGATTATCACAGCCTCAGTGCTACTTCCTCTGTTCTCCTCACTAAAATGTAAATTCTTTTAAGATTTGTTTTGAATCAGGGATTCACAGAAGATTGCAAAGCAATATACAGGGAAGTTCTATACTCTGGCTTCCCTGATATTAACATCTTACACAACTCTGGTACAGTAACAAAACCAAGAAATTATCATTGATACAATCTATAGAGCCTATTCAGATTGCACTAGTTATGTATGCACTTGTGTGTGTGTGTCTGTGCATAGCTCTATGTATCTTTATCACAGGTATAGCCTAGTATTACCTTCATAATCAAGACTCAACTGTAACATCATAAAATTCCTTGTTACTACTTTATAGCTATACCCATCTCTTCTCCCTGACCCCTAGTAACCTCTAACATGCCCTGCATCTTGTTATTTCATGTATGTTTCATAAATGAAATCATGCTGTATGTATGCTATTAAACCTTGGCTTTTTCACTCAGAATAATCTTCCTGGGGTTTATCCAAGTTATTACATGACTCTCAGATGTTTGTTCCTTGTTACTGCTAAATACTATTTAGGTAGTATAGATTTACCGTGATTTGTTTAAGCATTCACCACTGGATGACATTTGAGTACTTTGAATTTGGGACTGGTAGGGATAAAGTTACTATAAGCATTCTTTTTCCACATCTTGTATTGAAAAATTTCAGATACCACTTCTCATTGCCAAATTATCTTGGTTCTGTATTGGAATTTTTCATTATAAACTATAATTATGGATACACAGCATATATCCATATTTTTAATTTTTTTCATGATATTTCTATGAATTAGATATGAAGAAAAAGGTTTTATTTTTGTTTTGTTGTTTTTGAAGTTAATTTAAATCTTTCTTTATGTTCCCATTATATGACTTTCTTATAGATAGGAAAAACTGGGACTTGGCTTACTCTAGTCAATCATGAGACATCAGTGTTCTGATCTAGTGTGCTTAATATTCTTATCAACAGTGATTATCACATTTTGGAATACAAAAAGAATTAATAGTGTCTCAGGAGGGAAGATTGTGAGTGATGAAACTCGTTGAATAAAGTATTTGTATTAAATATTTGTGTGACTATATTTTGTTTAGGAAGTCGAGGCACAAGAGGTTCTCAGATTGATAGTCACAGTAGTAGTAGCAACTATCATGACAGCTGGGAAACTCGAAGTAGCTATCCTGAAAGAGACAGATATCCTGAAAGAGACAACAGAGATCAAGCAAGGGATTCTTCCTTTGAGAGAAGACATGGAGAGAGAGACCGGCGTGACAACAGAGAAAGAGGTTCGTCAAACAATTACATAGCAACCAACTTTAATTGGGGGAATTGTTTTTTAAATTGGCATCATTAACTTTTAATATAAAAATATCATTTAAGATCTATGCTTGATGACATGTTTGAAACTATTCCTATAATCTTTGTTCCTATGGTGTAGAAGTGATTACGTGAATAGTTAGGTACTATTACATAGGGTAGTGGGGCTCAAGAACCAAGGTGTCTTCTCATTTGTCTCTCATCTTAACCTAGTAGTTTATATCTTGCTCTTTAAAGAATGTAAACGATTGAGTGCCATCCCAGGCAGTGTTGATTCAGGAAATACCTAAATCTTCTCAACTGATGATCCTAGCTATTCACTAATTAGCTATAATCAATAGGTTTGTAAGGACTCCTAGGGAAGATCAAGGGGAAAAAAAAAGGTGATGGTACTCAGGAGAGGAACATTTTGTTCAGAGAATGCATAGTATTTGCTTTAGCTAATTATATATTCTTGTATATCTTAAGCTAAAAGTTTTCTGTTAATCTGTTAGATGACCTCTAAAATCAATTTTGAAGTAAGAGTATGAAGATGCACTTACCGGTTATATGTATTTATTTGGAAGATTTTATTGTCTGTGCTTATTAGAGCCTTTAAGCATTTAAAATATTAAGAAGGTTTCACTGACACTGGCTGATTAAATAGTAAGGTTTCACTATAATGCTGAGTTTAATAGAGAATGAAGTTTAATGGCCCCGAAATTGAACATTGCTACTGAATCAAAGAGGTAATATTGTATATTGGTATGGGTAGTAATGGGAGGGGAGCAAAGTCCCTGAGACACAATCTACTTTTGAGAGCATAGATGAGACCAGAGGTAGGAGATTTGGTTGGGTTGAATTTGTTAAAGGTGAGCCTAATGCATTTGGATTGCAAGATGTATAGTATTTTCTTAGTTACAGATAAGGCTGAAATTTTTACATTTTGTGCTTCTGAAATTAAGGTTTACATGTACTTAGCATTTTGACAATCTCTCTTTAATACTGTGTCCTGGTACTTTTTTTTCTATTTTCATACTCTCGCTCATGTCTGAATTCAGTAGTAACATTTGGTTTCAGTCTTCTATTTAGTTTAACCACAAATATTAAGCTTCTACTACATCCCAAGAACTTTGATAGTCACTTTACATAGATTGTTTTACTTAATCTTTACTGTATCCCTAAAGTTACATAATCCGTGTTTCACAATTTAGGAGATTAGACCTAAGAGAAGTTTTCACTGTTAATAGAGAAGTTCCAAAGTTGGATTCAAATTTAGGTCTTTTGACTACAAGTCCAGTTATCTATTTTATATTACTATATTTGCCTTAATAAATGTCACTCAAATGGTTGAAAGAGAAATATACTTTTTGAAGTTCTAGTGATTCTGTTCTGCAAATGTGTATTGACTATCCATGTCAGGCTCATTGGCAGGTACTTAGAGTGTAATACTTACTTGTCCTTGTAGAACTTATTGGGTAAGGGGGAATTCCTCTTCTCACCCTAAGAAGAAATGATTATTAAGACTATCGAAAGAAATAAACAGGAACCCAAATTTAAGAAAAAAGAAGAGAAAGACCTACACTAGAGTGTTCATTAAAATCTTGAGGAAATAGTTATCCAGAGATGCAAATGTGAGAGAAGCAGCAAGGTTTCAGAGATTAGGGTGAAAGCATTCCATGAAGAAGAAAGAATAGATGCAGATTCTCTAGCTGAGAAATAGCCTTATACATCCTAAAATATGAAAGAAAATTAATGTGTGTAGGGTATGGTAGGTTATGATAAAAGACTGATAAGAGGTTGAGTGTAGAGATTTATGCCCAGGCACCTTGTTCTGTGCTCAGAGATTTAAATCTGACCTTCACAGTCTAATCATAGATAGACAATGAAAATGTGATCATGTCTATATAAAGTTCTGTGAGAAGACAAAGGAGCAAACATAATTCTGGGAATTTCCAAGAAAGCTGCTTTAACTAAAGAGGTAACATCAGAATAAGGCTTGAATAACACAAGTTTGCTAGAAGGGAAGAATTTGCAGGGAAAAGGTGTGGCATAAGCAGACACATAGGATTGAAAGAACCATACATGGGCTTTGGAGTAGTAAGAATTATGTTATGAGATTGGAATACAGGTTGGCTACATTTGTTGGGGAAGAAAGGAAACTGGGAAATGGGACTGATGAAAGACTATAGCACAGGCTTCAAATGACCTGATAAGCCAAGGTAAAATTTTTTAATTTGTTTTCATTGCCTACAAGATAACTGCTTTTAAGCAGATGGAAGAAATAGTCTTTATCAGAAATTTATTAAGTGTCTAATCAGTTAGAGTATTAATGACATAATCATCTGAGAAGAGCTGATCAAGGTCTGAGTTAACATATTAATGTAGAGATGGGGACAGGAAAAGAAGTAAATAGACAGGAAGTAAAATCGATGGTAGTTGGATAATGGGATTTGGATAATTAAGAGATTGCCAGCTTTTGTGAATGGGTATGTCATTCAGTAAGACAAGGAACAATACGAAAAGAAGCACATCTTGGGGGGGTAATAGGGAAGGCACTTTACACATGTTATTGTGGCATCTTACGTTCTTTCCATTTTCCTTGAAAATAAGAGGCATTGTTATTCTGGCTGGGAAAATAAAGGTTTTATCTGCCAAGACTTGTGGCTCAGTATAGCTCCTGATATTGCTATGCTCAGAAATTTAAGTATAAATTTCTGCAAGTTGCAGTATTGAATTTGTTTCAATTCAGACAACCTAAAACATGAGTATATAATATCTGGGAATCCATATTGTGATATAGTAGAACCATTTTAAAGTTAAGTCGGTTCAGCAAAAGTAAAAAGGTTTAAGAAAAACTGACTTCTAGTCCTGATGTCCTAATGTGTATATGGCACATTACATTTGCAAGTTACAGAATCACTTCCAGCCCATAATTTCCATGTTTTTATGAAAGAAGAGGGAGAAAAGATTTTTTAGCTTTAAAATTCTATTAACTTTTTTTGTCTGGATCTACAACCTCCCAGTAGTAAATATGGACATTTCTTTCTCATCAGTTATGAGGAAGGGAAATCCAACCACATTGAGTACTTTCCTGGGATTGTTCTAAAATTATTCTGCTTAACAAGTTAATGTTGCACTTACTAACCTATTGGACATATTGTAGTATGATTTATTAACCAATAAATATTATATAGTATATAAATAGCTGGGGTCATACCATAGTAATTGCTTTTCAAAATGACTATCTCTTTGGAAAAACTTGCCATCTTCATACATTTTTTGATCCCAGACTAATTTCCTCCTCATCCTGGCATTTGGCAGCATGTATTTATTTCTCTGTAGTTGTAAAATTCATGTGCGGGCTAGAAAAAAATTTATAATTGATGAGATTATAAGTTAGCATCATCCGTAGTTATTAATTATAAATACATCACTAATATGAGACACTTTTTACATTTGATGTTCCAATATTGTTAGACATTATTACCCTTAGTTCTAGCTTATGGTAAGAGATTGATATTGCAGCCACAAATTTTGATATACATTTTGTTCTACTATATTTTTTTCACATAATAGCTGCACTTTGATGTGTATATATTTTGGCCTGAAATTAGAGGTGTGACTTACGAGGGAAATTTTTTTTTTCCTTCAGCTCCTATGTTCTACACCTCCTGCTGCCCCTATCCTTTGCCACCAGTGTTCTCAGGTCCTGCTGGGGGGACAGAGAAGATCAGAGGTGAAGGGTAGAGATGGCAGAAAGTGGGGTTGGAACAGTGGGCTGGAGGTAGGGTAGGGAGCATGCAGAGAAAGAGCAAAGGTGGATCAGTGGGAGGTGGGCAGGGGGCTGACGGGGAGCAGAGACATGGTAGTTAGAGGGCAAATGAAAAATTATCTTTAAGAAAACATTTTTAAAGGTCTAGTGGTGATTATTTTTTGGATGATTGAAATAAAAGTAAATATGGCATCTGATTTGTAATTTATTGCCAGTGTGACCCTGTACTCAGATAAAATTTAAAATTTGCTATCTATTTTACCTGTAGGTTATCTGCCAGATTAATCACTGACAAAACTTGATTTTCATTGTAGATCAAAGACCAAGCTCACCAATTCGACATCAGGGAAGGAATGACGAGCTTGAGCGTGATGAAAGAAGAGAGGAACGAAGAGTAGACAGAGTGGATGAGAGAAGAGATGAAAGGGCTAGAGACAGAGATAGAGAACGAGAACGAGACAGAGAGCGGGAGAGAGAGAGGGAACGTGAACGGGATCGAGAAAGAGAAAAAGAAAGAGAGCTAGAAAGAGAGCGAGCTAGAGAACGGGAGAGAGAAAGAGAAAAAGAAAGAGATCGTGAAAGAGAGAGAGATCGTGACCATGATCGAGAGAGGGAAAGAGAAAGGGAGCGAGACAGGGAAAAAGAGAGGGAGCGAGAGAGAGAAGAAAGGGAGAGGGAAAGAGAGCGAGAACGGGAGAGAGAGAGAGAACGAGAACGGGAACGAGAAAGAGCTCGAGAAAGGGATAAAGAACGAGAACGTCAAAGGGAGTGGGAAGACAAAGACAAGGGACGAGATGACCGCAGAGAAAAGCGAGAGGATATCCGAGAAGATAGGAATCCCAGAGATGGACATGATGAGAGAAAATCAAAGTAAGAACAATTATAAATTTGTTTTTAAAAGTTACATTTCAGCAAGAATTGATGAGAGAGAGAGAGTGTGTGTGTGTGTGCAGTTTTTAAGTGGTTCTGATTGTCTAAAAAAATAATTTTTTGAATTCTGAATCCAGGGGCTGTAATTAATCCGTTAGTCCATTTTCTTTTGCTATAATAAAAATACCCAATTCTGGGTAACATAAGCAAAAAAAGTTTTATGTAACTCATGGTTTTGGAGGCTGAAAGTGCAAGATCAGGTAGCCCCATCTGTTCAGCCCCTGATTAGGGGTCCCTTGGTTGTGTTACAACATGGTTAAGAAGCAGAGCAGCAACTGGACCTGTGCAGAAAGGGCCAGACATTATGACATCTTGGCTTTGTAAACTACCCACTCTCAACTAACTCAGTCTGTGAGACCAGCATTAATCCTTTCTGAGGGCAGTGCCTCCAGTGATCTAATTACCTTGTAGTTGGCCCCACCTCTTAGGAGGTTCCACCACAGCACTATCACATTGAGGAGCAAACCTCTAGCACATAACCTTTGTAGGACAAGCCATAAATCACTCCTCATTTAAATTTAAATTAAGGAACAAGAAATATAGTGAACATATAAAGTATTTTATTAACTTGTCACTAAACAAGTGATTTAGTTATAAGAAAGGGAAACAAACTAATTTTTACAGTGTACCCACAACATGCCTGGCATTGGGCTTAAGATAACTAATTTATTCCTTACTGCAGTTTTATGAAAGGACTTTCATCTTTTCCCTCAGTTTCAGATGAGAAAGCCAAGGTTCAGTGACTTCAAGGAACTTACTTAAGGTTGCATCATAAGTAATGTGGCTATAAGTTGAACTCACATATTTTGAACTCCAAAAATAATACTAGATTTTCTCATCCATCTTCCCAGCATAAGGCATTTGTCTATCATAAGAATGTAAAGTTGATGGATGTTTATACTAGTGAGCACATTGATACTTTGATTTTTCTGCTGTATGTTACCACTATGCAGTATTTAAATCTAGCACACTTGAGTGATTGTAACTATGAAAGAAATGTTGCCATATGTTTTAAATCCACAACTGTAAGTTTTAGCAAATAAGGATTTTTTTTTTTTTTTTTTGCAAAGCTTTATTGAAAGAAGAACAAAGAATAGGCACTACAAAGAAAAAGCACCAGGCTCTGGTCAGGTGGGACAGAAGTGTCAATCTTTGTTCAAAGGGCAATTTATAAATTTTAAGGGCAAACAGAAAAAGTCTGAGCAGTCTTTGCAGCAGGGACTAGCACGATTGACAGGTTTGACTGACAAGATCTTTTAATTGTACGTATGAGATAACAAATGATATTCCTAAGATCTTTTTTATTGTGCTGGATGGGGGTACATTGGAGTATTTACAAAGATTCTTACGGTGTATCAAATATATCATACTTGAGTTCAACCTGACCGCTGCTGTCTTTCGTGGAACAGTTTCAACAGATATCATTTTTGCATTTACATACATGTGTAGACATAGAGCAGATAAAGAATTTTTATTAAAGGTAGTACATGTCCTTTGTATGCTACAGCTCTGACGGTTTTGTTTTCCTGCAATTATAATTTCTAGTTATAGTAAAGAAATACTAGTAAAGGCCAGGTGCCAGTGGCTCAGGAGGATGATGGTTCAAAGCCAACCTGGGCAAATAGTTTGCAACATCCTGTCTTGGAAAAAACCCATCACAAAGAAGGGCTGCTGGAGTGGCTCAAGGTATAGGCCCTGAGTTCAAACCCCAGTACTGCAAAAAAGAAACATAGTAGAGAAATCTTTTTCATCCTCTGGCATTTCATAAATTATATTTACTTGCCCAATTTAGGAAGCGCTATAGAAATGAAGGCAGTCCCAGCCCTAGGCAGTCACCAAAGCGCCGACGTGAACATTCCCCTGATAGTGACACCTACAATAGTGGAGATGATAAAAGTAAGTACAGTCTGTTTTCTCTTTGTATTCATACTCATTTGTAACCTTAAAACCATTCTTTGACATTGATTGCAACTGATAATTTAAGACTCTAAAATTTTTTCTTGCTCTTGCTGTCACTAAGTATTTCCTATGTGACTAAAGTTTGTGCTAAAAATCATAGTTGTACTATCCTTTCCTAACTAATGTATTGTAGTTGAAGCCGTATTTTATTTTTACTGAAATTATTGCCATTTAACAAGTTGTAAAATGAAAAGTGAGAAATTGTCCGATTATTATTTAAATGTAATATACTGTTTTTTTAACATGGTGAAGATATGGTTACTTTTTATCTTTTGGTATAGATGAAAAACACAGAATCTTGAGCCAGGTTGTACGACCTCAAGAATCTCGTTCTCTCAGCCCATCACACCTCACAGAAGATCGACAGGGTAGATGGAAAGAGGAGGACCGTAAACCAGAAAGAAAAGAGAGTTCAAGGCGCTATGAAGAGCAAGAACTCAAAGAGAAAGTTTCTTCTGTAGAGAGACAGAGAGAACAGCTAGACATCATGGAAAGCTCAAGAGCACGTGCACAAGACCTGCTAAGCCACCACCAGTCTGAAGATCGCGAGGCATCTGATCGTGCCCATGATGAAAGTAAGAAAAAGGCAAAACTTCAAAAGAAACCTATTAAGAAAAAGAAAGAGGATGATGTTGGAATAGAGAGGTGTAACATTGAGACAATATCTGAAGATGGTCAAGTATTCTCACCTAAAAAAGGACAGAAGAAGAAAAATGTTGAAAAGAAACGTAAAAGATCCAAAGGTGATTCTGATATTTCTGATGAAGAAGCAATCCAGCAAAGTAAGAAGAAAAGAGGCCCACGGACTCCGCCTATGACAGCTAAAGAGGAATTGGTTGAAATTTCCAGTGATAAGGATGGCATACTGGAGGATCCTCTGAAGAAGGAGGATACAGCCTTCAGTGACTGGTCTGATGAGGACGTGCCTGACCGTACAGAGGTGACGGAAGCAGAACATGCTGTCACTTCTGCCACTGCTGGTAGCACCTCTTCCCCTCTGTCTTCTCTTCTCCCTCCTCCGCCTCCTGTGGCCACTGCCAATGCTGCAAGTGCTGCTCTCACCTGCACTGCTATTAGTGCAACTACCACTTCTACTGCCCCCATCTCTACCTCTTCTACCTCCTCCAGTGCCACTGCTGCTTTTGCTGGTGAAGATTCACATAGAAAATGTCACAGGACACGAGTAGAAAAAGTAGAGGCAGCACCTCATGTGACTGTAGAGGATACATCACATCGCAAGCCAGTGGACCAGAAGAGGAGCAGCAGCCTTGGGAGCAATCGGAGTAATCGTAGCCACACCTCTGGTCGCCTGCGCTCCCCATCCAATGATTCTGCTCATCGAAGTGGGGATGACCAAGGTGGTCGAAAGAGAGTGCTGCATAGTGGTTCAAGAGATAGAGAAAAAACAAAAAGCCTGGAAGTAACAGGAGAGAGAAAATCTAGGATTGATCAGTTAAAGCGTGGAGAACCTAGTCGAAGTACTTCATCAGGTAATAAAGTTGAATTATGATCGAGCTAGTGTTTCCTATGTTGTATATTTTACCCAAAGTATAATTCTAAAGTAATATCAAATTGGTTACTTTATATACTGCCTTTAATTTTATGCAACTCTAAAAGCTGAGCCATTCCATTAAAATCTCACCTGTCATCACTTTAATTCCACCTTTGTAATAGAAGTACACTCCATAATGTTAATTTAATATCAGGATTTTAGTGGCATGTGTTACTGGAAGGGCTTGTGAATTCAAGTCCCATATCTATGCCAGCTATTTTGACTTTCCTGCTTTTCTTCCTGCAGCCAGCGCTACCTTTTTTGACCACAGAAAATAAGATTGGGAATGGATCAAAGAATGAAGCCATTAGTTCTATTAAAAATTTTTCCTTAAAATGAGCTCTTGAATGAACAGAGAGAAAGATATATGTAGTAGAAATATGCAGAGTATATAAAGAGACTATTGAAAAGATATATAGAATATAGAAAATAAGTTACAAATTTTAAAGAGCCCTAAAATGAAGTTTCTATTTTATATGTGTTAACTTTGTATATGGTATATTTATTTTAGATCGCCAGGATTCTAGAAGTCATAGCTCAAGAAGAAGTTCTCCTGAGTCAGATCGGCAAGTCCATTCAAGATCTGGGTCATTTGATAGCAGAGATAGGCTTCAAGAACGAGATCGATATGAGCATGATAGAGAACGGGAGAGAGAGAGGAGAGATACAAGACAGAGAGAATGGGACCGAGAAGCTGATAAAGATTGGCCGCGGAACAGAGATCGAGATAGAGTACGGGAACGAGAGAGAGAACGAGACAAAAGAAGAGACTTGGACAGGGAAAGAGAGAGACTAATTCCTGACTCTGTGGAAAGGGAGAGAGACAGAGACAGAACTTTTGAGAGTTCTCAAATAGAGTCTGTGAAACGCAATGAAGTAAAACTGGAGAGTGAACATGAAAGAGACCTAGATGGTAGTTCCCGAGACTCTGTAGCTTTGGATAAAGAAAGAATGGATAAAGATGTGGGGTCTGTGCAGGGATTTGAAGATATGAGTAAAGTTGAGAGAACAGAGAGTGTGGAAGGTGAGTGCCATACTTTGTTATACTGCTCTATTCCTTGCCCGATTTTATGAGGAACAAACATTTTCTTTTCAAAGATCATTCACTAATAGACAAATTGACTCCTCTTTTTTTATAGGGAAAATAGATCCATAAGAAAAAGACCTGTGACATTAAAAAATGTATTCCCCTCAGTAGTACTATCAATGCAAATTAGATTCAAGTAAGCCTAATGAAGTAAAAGCAATAATGATGGAAATAAATGTTAGGGAAGTAGAGAGAAATCAAAGAATAAAGTAATCACTTCTACTAATGCCTAACCTTTGAAATGAAAGATTGTTTAAGTGCAATGTGTATAGATGTTAGAGAATAACCATCACATCTTCTTCTTTTTTTTTTAAATCACTGGGCATGATTGCACTGGGGAGCTTGAGTTCAAGACCAGCCTGAGCTACATATTGAGGCCCTGTCTCAAAATTAAAATCACAAATAACTGAAGTGACTTCTCAATTCAGAGAGGGATAACTATTAGTAGTCACTGTTTTCTAAGGCAGTTGAGAACAAATACATGAAAATAGTTCTGCTCCCTGAAATTATTTAATGGCAGATTGACTGTAGAACCGCAGTCCCCAGTCTTAAAAGAACGCAGAGAAGTCCCCTGGGCCCAGTCAGATTCAGTCGTGGCTCTATGCCTCACTCCCCACTGACTCTACTCTCCACCCTTCATTCCCACTCTGCCAGATAAGCAGACTCATTATAGGGATGATGGACACTGACTCTACTCATAACAGAATTATTAGGATGAATAGTTTGATTATACTCCGTTATACCCCAAGGTTGTACCTCGTTTAGAACTGTGGCTCATGAGTTATTTATACTCAAAATTCAAGTGAAAATGTAATGTGAAGGAAGCCGAGGTAGAAAGATTTTTGTCAACTGGAAAGATATATATGAGATGGCATATTGGGATATCTAATTAGATAAATAAGAGATACAAGGATCCACTTTTAAAAGCAGAAGATTAGGCCAAATACTGTCATATGGCAAATAAAAATAGTACTGCTATGCACTAAGCTTCCCAGAAGATTCACTCCCCCGTCCATTAGACAGATCAACTCAGGCCTTTCCATTCTCTTGCTTTTCTTCATGCCCATTCTTCCTTTTCCTTTTCATCGTCTCTTTTCTTATTTAAAATTGCAAGACTCAGTGTATGACTTACTTTCTTTGGGAAGCCATCTGTGCTGAAGGGACTTACTCTTTCAAATTCCCATAGCACCTTGTTTGTATATCTTTTATAGCATCCCCATGGTGTATTACAATTATTTTTCCATGATTTTCTCCCCATTATACTGTACTCCTTTTAAGGGACTGTAGCTTTTTATCCTTTATCCTTAAGTAAGAACACAGTAAATGGTCGATGAATGAAAATGTGTTCTGCATGTGTATACATTTTCTATACCTTACTCCTTCATGAATTACAGCCTACATTGAGAGGAAGAATGGCTCCCCTGAGAATTTTGGAAATTCTGCCTCCCTGGGACTCTGAAGTCCTGCTATCAGCAGTTAATATTGTTTTGATATAATCTCCACAAGCTATCAAGATACTTTTTATTTTGCCATATGATAGCATTTGGCTTACAGTCAAATCCACGGCTTTTTTTTTTCCCCTAGCAGTACTGGGGTTTGAACTCAGGGCAGGTGCCCTACAGCTTTGAGCCATGCCTCCAGTCCTTTTTGCTGTGGTTATTTTGGAGATAAGGTTGCACATTTTGCCAGGTGGGCCTTAACCATGATCCTCCTATTTCAAGGTTCCCCTGTCATTGAGATGACAGGCACATGCCATTGTACCCAGCTATTGGTTGAGATGGGGTCTTGCAAACTCCCTGCCAGGACCAAATTCAAACCATGATCCTCCTGATCTCTACCTCCCAAGTAGCTAGGAATATAGATGTAAGCCACTGGTGTCCGGCTTAAATCCACCACTTTTAAAAGAGGATCCTTACATCTCTTGATTATCTTATTACACAGCCCAGTATACCATGTATTATATAAATTTTTTCCCATTTGACTTGACAAAGATTTCTAACTCAGATTTCTTCACATTACATTTTCATCTCAATTTTGAGTGCAGATAGCATCAAATCCAAGCCATGCTTATAATGGAAGTACGACCTTGGTATAGAATTGAATATAACTGAACTAATCATTGTAATGGCTCTCTTGTGATTGGGGTCAGTGTTACTCATTTCTAAAATTACCATTTATGAGTTGTGACTACATATAATATGGTATAGAAATTTGAGGCAAATCACCTGCTATACCATGTAAATACAGGAAAATGAGTTAGATAATCTGCATTCATGTTTAGAAATATATTTATATGGAGCTGGCGGAGTGGCTCAAGTGAAATATATTTATACACAACGTTATTAAAAATAGATTGCCTTAGAAGTGAACTGGTGTGCATATTGAGGGGGGGTTATTATAGAATTTAAAAGAATAGAAAATTAATAGAATGATTAAAAACATCCCATAGCCTTATGTTTTATTTATTGTGAATTCATATACTGTTACAGCTTAAAAACAAGGTTTGTAGATTCCATAAAATATATGGATAGCTAATGATTAGAAATATTAAACGTACCCTGTAGTTTTGGGATTACATTTACAGCAACTCAGCAGGAAACAAAGTTTAGTCTAGGTCATTGAGAAAAGTTGATTAAAAAAAAAGTAAAACATACACTACTGGTACCAACAAAAATATTTTAAAAGTATATTATAACAGTCTTCTAAAAATTGCGTTCATTAATAGAAAACTTTGAGACTGGGAAGAGGAATTGGGGGTAGGAGAAGAATTAATGGCACTCTTACATTTTTACCTCACTGCTAGAAAGCTCTTCATATAATGAGTTAAATATTATGAACTAAGATTCAGTTTAAAATAGATTTGTTAAATGAGTTTGCAAGTTTTGTTAATGAGTGTGTTTAAATAGAAATTATTGTAGTCTTTTGAAGTTGTAAATTTTTGTGAATATTAAAAATTAACACTATAATCAACATTAATATATTAGTGGTGGCTTTTATTTCTGATATTTTAATTGTAACCTTCCAGCCTATTTTGATATTGCTGTTCATATTGTATAATATTGTATTTGTATCACTAAAAATGAATTTAATTGACTTTTGTCTTTCAGTTTTATTTTAACATTACCATGTTTGACTAGTTAGGAAGTATAGTTTTCTGATGGAAATAATACTTTCACAGTATTCTAGTATGCACAGTCTTTTGGTCTAACTTAAATAAATAGTCCTTATAATACCTTCTTTGACATGAAATTAATTTATCTGTTTAGCAGGAGATGATGAATCCAAGCTAGATGACGCACATTCATTAGGTTCTGGTGCGGGAGAAGGGTATGAGCCAATTAGTGATGATGAACTAGATGAAATTCTAGCAGGTGATGCAGAAAAAAGAGAAGAACAGCAGGATGAGGAGAAGATGCCAGGTAATCATTTGCAGAGGTGGTTGAACATAAAAAATATCTGTATTCTTTGTTCCCTTTCATGTTAAAAAAAATTGATATAAGGCACTTAGAATTTTCTCCTTTATAACTTACTTAAGGTTGAAAGGCCAGTTTAAAAAAAAAATTAGACTTTCTATGTCTGTTAATTTTTAAGTAGACATTACCTTGAAAGAACCTTATTTGAAATAGCAAAATCCTGAAATTCCTTGCCAGAGTTTAAGATATCTGTTAAGTGATCTACAATCTAACCAGATACTGATTGCTTACAGTATTCGACATGACAAGTATGTGGTACATTGCTTTACAACTGTGAGTACCACAAGTTAACTTTTAAAAAAAATGTTCAAAACACATATAATAATTGAAATTTCTTTCAGTTTTCATTATCATTAAATCATCTCAAGTTGAGTCTAATTGTTCCTAACAATTTTTTTTTATCATAATGAGAGTCTTTGCTTGGTCTGGCTATATAAAATACTATATTTTCATTTTTATTTAGTTTGCTCTTATATTTCACAGTTTTTTTGTACTAATGTAAAAGGTATGTATCATTGTTATCTTTGTGATTTTCTGGTATTAGGTATTGCTGAGTGGAACATCATTTTATTTCTTTAACTGTTATTAGTATTAATAGTAGTCATTGTCTGATTCTTAAAGGAATTTCATAATTGTTTGTTTTAAAAAATTAAAATATGTGTGTTCACTTATATGCAAAGTAAACATGCTCTTAGATTTAACGCTTGCTAGGATCCTAATACCAAGTTTCAAAACATGAGATTTAATCTTTTAAATAATCTAGTGACATAATGGAGATTTTTGTTGTTGGGGCTCTCCCTTGTAATTTAAATGAGCTACTTTGAAAGAGTGGGTTAGCTTGCTTGTATTCTTTGTAGGAAGGCTTTTTTGGTTTTTGTTGTTGTTAGAGTCCTTAAATTCTAAACATTAATTTTTATGGGAAGCTTTCATTTTAAGAACATGACATTTTTGGTTTAAAGTACTTACTGTTTACTTAATTTCTGGTTATGCCCGGGTAATCATTGGGGATTGGTTCCAGGACACCTGCAGATACCAAAATCTGTAAATGCTCACGTCCCTTATATAAAATGGCTTGGTGTTTGAATATAACATGCACATACTATAGCATACTTTAAATCATCTCTAGATTGCATATTCCTAATGCTGTGTAAATAGTTGTTAGATTGTATTGTTTAAGGAATAATGACAGGAAAAAAAGTCTATACATGTTTTAGTACAGGCTTCTTTTCCCATATATTTTCAATCAAATCTATGGATATGAAATCCACAGATATGGAGGACCTACTGCATTTTTATGTAGAGCCAACTGCTATCTCTTGATATAAAATAAAATCCTATTCTTTACCTTTTTTACAGATCCATTAGATGTGATAGATGTGGATTGGTCTGGTCTTATGCCAAAGCACCCAAAAGAACCACGAGAGCCTGGGGCTGCACTCTTAAAATTTACACCTGGAGCTGTTATGCTGAGAGTTGGGATTTCTAAAAAGTTGGCAGGTTCAGAGCTCTTTACTAAAGTCAAAGAAACATGTCAGAGACTTTTAGAAAAACCTAAAGGTAATCCCATTTTACTTTAACTATGTATGCCTGTTATAACTATTAAGATGCTCTTAAAAAGGATTCTGTTTGGTTTTCATGTAGTACTTTACATTTTAAGAACTGCTTTTTGAGGAATCATTTATTTATTATTAAATCCTAAATACCCGAATTCCTCCCTTAAATTTTTTTTGGAGAAGATTAAATCCCAGAGAAAAACTACAAAATTACTAAAATGAACTTTCTGTATCAAAATTACTTTGGGGTACTAAGGGTATAGCTTTCAAGTGATAGAATGTGTGCTTCATGTACACAAAGCTGTGAATTCTATCCTAGAACCAAAAGAAGAAAAAAAGAGTTCACATGCCAAAACTGCACAATGGTTTGCCCACAGCTAAATAAAGCAGAACCTGAAAAAATAGATATAATAAGCAAATTAGGTATCTTGGCAACCCTTTCATGTAGAAGTGGAAAATTCTTCCCAAGGGCAGATCTCTTAAGTTGAGCGCTCAACAAAGTGGTATAGCTCGGTCTGTAGGGCCAGATGGTATAGACTGCAGTAGGCATACCGCTTACTAGTTATCTAATCTGTGTGTGCTCGTGCCATCATCTGTAGTTGGGAACAATTGTACTACCAACTGCCTAAGGCTGTTAGGAGGAAGAGCAAATGAGTTGTTATAAGCAAAACTAAGAACAGTGCTAGGGTGTAATAATACTAACTACTTACTGCTGCTATTAGTCAGAAAACATTTTGTCATACTCATCTTTCACCTTATCATAACTACTTTTAATTATTCTAAAGCCCTTTATTTAATTTTTACATTCTGGGTTTTTTGTTGTTGTCTTGGTTTGATTTGATTTGGGTTTTTTTTTTTTTTTTGGTTCTTACTATTTCTCTTTGGTGATGTCTGCCTTTATTTGTTTTGTAGCTTATTAATACTTTTACTAATGAGGAGAGACCAACTAGATGGCAAAAACAAAGAAAAGGAGATAAAAGGCAAAAACATCATTAGTTAACAGTTCTGTGTCATGTCCTGAAAGTAAGAAAATTTAGTTTAAAAAATTAGGTTTCGGCAGACATGGTGGCACATACTGTAATCCCAGCACTAAGGAGGTTAAGATGGAAGGACCATGAGCTCAAGTTCATTCTGTGCTACAGAGCAAGTATGAGGCCAGTCTCTGGTCTATGTAAAACCCTATAAAAAAAAGAAAAAGAAAGGAGAGAGGGAAGGGAAGAAATTAAGATTTTTACTAATGTAAAATTGAAAAAAAAATTTTTTAGTTTTGTAAATCCATATCCTTCCTTTCACTTATTAGCATAAGCAATAAAATTCTTGATTTCAATGTGTCCAATAGAATGTATATGTATGAAATATATAAATAAATTATAATTGTGAACATTTAGTAACCTGAAAAGTGACCAAAGATTTAGGTTCTTGCCCTGTTCTTTCCACTTTGATTGGATCTGTGACCTTAAGAAAGTAGCTCCTGTGGGCCTCAATTTCATTTATACATCAAGGTATTAAAACCCCTAGGATGTTACCATTCTAAAGCTATTTTCTTCTGTGACTTTTGCTAATGACATTTCAAGTTGAAATCTAGTTTGATTTTATTAACTATGAAATAAAATTTGACCCTTACTTAATGATGACTTAAGTTTTAAGGCATGAGACAATGAACTATGTAAAAGAAGGGTCTGACTGCTTAACAATCAGACCTTTCCTGTTTTTGGCTGTTGTGGTAGTTGTACTAAAGAATGAATAAATGTTGCTTAATTTGTGTTTCATCCAGAATGGTGCTGACTTCTGTGTGTTACCATGTCCAGTGTCTAATTGTTCCATTGCCTGCATCAGTGCCTGACACACAGTAGATACTCAGTAAATGAAGTAATTGATACAGATGTTTAATTCCATTCCATCTTCTCTGGTGCCCCAACACTGAAGACAGTATCTCTCCATGCCATATATAATTTTAAAACAAAAACCACAAACACAGAAACAAACCTAGACTTTAAATAAAAGCACATGTACACTGAAACTGAAATTGCCTTCGACTAGGATTTATTAATTGCAATATGGTTAAATTCTTTTAAACCTCTCCAATTATTTTGTGTCCTTTGTTTTACTTAATCTTGAATATGTGACTAATCTGTCTTTTGAGAATTTGGTGCCAGTTAGTTCAAAACCATAGACTGAAAGTTTAGCCGTATTATGCTCTAAAGAAGTTTACAGGTATCCTGGGTTTCTACAAATGTAAATAAAGTGTTTTGTATTCTGATTTTACAAAAGTAGAAAGAAAAGATGCCAATAAAAAATTTGTCCTGACAGCAATTTTCAAGAAAGGGCATAAGTTCAATACAAAAATTCTTCTGTTTTTGTCTATAGCAGGTGTATGTATATATTTATATGACTATCAATGTTTACTAATGTTCAAACATTAGTAAATCATCTGAGAAACTGCTTTTTGAGAGGTATTTCAGTCCAGCTTCTCATTCTGTAGGTCTGATGTATTTTTAAAATTTCCTAAGATGATTCTTAAAGACTTCAGAGCTTAGGAACTAGTTTTGAGTTATTATTTTTATTTACTTACACTAGATTTAGAACCTGTTGATGAGGTATATTGCATTAAACTAGTTTCTTGTTAATTAATCTCGTTACGTATGTTGTGTAGTTCACAAAATTCAGATGAACTGTACAATGTACCTTCATTCCCTCAGTCAAATGTGTCTGTTCTGTTTTTACCTCAGTGCCAGTTACTGCTTTCCTTTTTGGGTTCTGACAGCTATCTCTGCCCTCATGGAATGAATAGAGAGAGGCAATGTCTGGTCCCATTAGTGCTCTTGGCTGACTCTTAGCCATTTATTTGAATTGCTGACTAGTCCTGTTTTAGACTTTGTCTTTGTCCATTTTTACCCTTCCTACTTGTATTAATTAAATCTTTTTTCACTTCTATTTTTGTTAAGTTTTAAGTGTTTTCACTCTCCCTTGCATTATTGTAAATTAAAACTAAATGATTTTAATATAGTGACTAACAAGTTGATTAACACCTGCCACTTTCCTAGCATAACTGATTTTTTAAGAAGCACAGTCTTGAATATTGTTACTTCAAATCTTCCTATAAAAAAGTCCTGAAATCTAGAACTTTAACTTGTAGCTGATGGTAAGCAACATACTAAATTTGATTTCAGTAATTCTTGAACTTTTCTTCTCAGTAATCACATACCACCCTGAATGTGCCCAATCTCATCTAAATTGGCCATCAGAATATTTATTTTTACTTAAAGTTAGCAACATAAGTACATGTTGAAGGTCCTTTGCAGAGAATATATTACCTTTAATATCGAATAATTTTCAAAAATGTTACTAACTTTGATAAATCATAAATTCACCAAGTATTCAGTTAAATCATTCGTAACACTTTCCATTTTAGGCAAATTTAATGTGTGCTTGTTTTCATTGAAAGATGCAGACAGTGTTTTTGAACATGAATTGGGAGCTCTCAACATGGCTGCATTACTACGAAGAGAAGAAAGAGCAAGTCTTCTTAGTAATCTTGGACCATGTTGTAAAGCACTGTGTTTCAGACGGGATTCTGCAATCCGAAAGCAGCTTGTTAAAAATGAAAAGGTACTGCTATTTCCTTGGAAGAAAAATGCAAAGTGAATAGAATGAAATGCATATTTTTCATTTGATTGCCTTAAAAGTGAGATTATAATCTTACCTATTTTAAGTTTGATTTCCTCGGTTTTTAATACATGTAAAGGGAGGATTCTATTAAAATGTGTTATACTTATTTTTTCAATAGTATCAGTTAATGATTAGTTCAGTGATAATTATTCAAAATTTCATGAAAAAAATTTTAAATATTCTGTGAAATGTTTTGCATTTGTGAAAAGCTTATTTAGATAAGCAAACTCCCTTCCTTCCTCCCTCCTTTCCTTCCACAAAAGCTAAAAGAAAGATACACAACCAAGCAAAAATAACTTCAGATGTTAGACAACCTCATGAAAAAAATGCTAAAACAAAAAGCCTTTAACTTGTATATAATTATAAAAGAAAAGAACAGAATAGGACCATTTACTGGGGTAAGAAGTAGACTTTTATTGGGTGGCAAAAAGTAGAACACCATTGACACTACATATTGGCATTATTTATATTTAGGAGAATGATTTTAAGTAGTGTATTTCAGAAAAAAATAGACAAAGGATGCAAGTGAATACTTAGCTGTTATAAGCTGTAAGTCTTATTTTAATCTTGTAATATTAAAATAGTGTATAGAACCTGTAGCAAATAGAAGGAAGGAAACAATAACAGAAATTGAGGAAATTAAAAATAGAAAAACATCAGAGAAAAGTGAAACCAAAAGCTGGTTCTTTGAGAACATGAATAAAATTGGTAATCCCCTAGCCAGACTGACAAAGAAAGTACAAATGATCATTATAAGGAATGAAAGTAGGGGTACCACTATAGGCTCTACAGATACTAAAAGGCTAATAAGGAGGAGGAGGTACATGAATCAATGTTACATTGCTTGCCTAGCATGCATGAGGCCCTCAGTTCAATCGCCAGCACTGGGGGTAGGGGGTAGTTAAAAAGGATAATAAAGGGATACTATGGATAGGAATAAACTTATACACCTAAATTTGACAATAAAGAATGTATTGAGTACTCTAAAGCTACAAACTATCAAAACTTAAAAAGTAGCAATAACCTGAAAAGTTCCTATATCTATTTTTTTTTATTGAATTTTTAGTTGAAAACCTTGTGAAAAAGAAACCTTCAGTCTTAGAATGGTATCACTGGCAAAAAAAATATCAAATATTGAAAGAAGAAATGGCACTGGTTCTACACAATTGCTTCCAAAATGTTGAAGAGGCAGGAACACTTTTCCACATGAGTTCAGCATTGCACACATATCACAAGAAAACTATAGATCATTATCACTCATGAAAATCACATTATAATCCTCAAAAATATTAGAAAAATCCAGCAATACATAAAATACTATACCATAACCAAATGTGGTTTGTCCTGGGAATGAAAGATTACTTCAATATACTAGAAGTATTCAAGGTAATCATTATACTAACAGACTAAGAAGAAAAATACATCATCATATCAATAGTTATAAAAAAAATTCAACAAAATTTGACATTATAAAAAAATTCTCATCAGGTTGCAATTAGAAGGCGGGGTTACTTTATAAAGAGCATCTTGGAGAAAAAAAAAACCCTATAATTAATGGTAAAAGTAAAATTGACTTCTCTCTGAAATCAGGAGCAAGGCAAGGATATTCATTGTCCCTATTAAACATCATAGTGGAGGTCCAAGTCAGTTCTGTAAACAAGAAAAAGTTTCATTGAGTCTGGACATATTTCCTAAATTTGCTTTTAAATTAGCAAAGCTTAATAAAATGTCAGTGTCCATTCAAAATTAAATACTCTTATAACTCTGATACTTTGGTAGCCGTTAACCTGCCTGTATTTCCTTCTACCAACTAGTAATGCACATCTTTTTTACTTGTTTCTGCTTTCTCCAAACAGGGTACTGTAAAACAAGCTTACACAAACGCTCCACTGGTAGACAATGAGCTACTCCGATTGAGTCTCCGATTATTTAAGCGAAAGACTACTTGTCATGTTCCTGGACATGAAAAGACTGAGGATAATAAACTACCACAGCCCAGTATCCAACGGGAACTGTGTGTGTCCTAAGACTGGAAGTTCACTATGACATTTTTGGTACTATATTCCTTCAGCAGTTCATTATTTTTCAAAGTTCTTTGATTTGACAAACAATATTCGTGACAAAGGCAGAAAAAATTCATCAGCCATGTTAAGAGTAAAGAAGAACATTGGTCTTTGGAGACACTAGTTTTGGCTGATCTTCTAAAATGAAGATTTTATATTAATTTTTATACAGTTCTTTATCTCATACAAAAATAATGTGAAAGCATCTAAATTTAGTAGTTTAGTCCATACTGTTTGTGAAAAGAGAAAATTCTGGAAAATGGTCGTCACTGCTTTTCCATCCTGTGAATATTTTATATACAATGGAATCACTGATTTATATTCTGGATCATCTATACAGAAACTGATTATTCAAAAACAGGGTGTTCATCAATGTAATTGTACCCATTGTGCAACACCATATTGTACAGAACATTTGAAAGGGAATGCTGGTGTAGAACAGTGTATTTGTAGGCAAATCTTCAGCAGGTGGAAGCCAGATATTTTTTTCTTTTAGAAAGTTCTAAAAAAGTTGCTTCATTGGTCTTTGATTTTTTTTTTTAATGTGTGTACATTCTTACTGTGTATATTGAATATCTTTGGATTCTGGTTTTTTTGTTCGTTATTAGAGGCTGTGTACTATTTTTATTTTTAATAAATTTACTTTCCCTTTTCTTGTTCTACATGTACTTTGCTGTTCATTAATCATCTTCTTTATATCCTGAAACATTTATCATTTTCATTCTTTAAATATTTTTCTGTTCATATCCCTATTATTGAACAGTTGAACATAGTGTGATATGAGTTGAGAATACTTCAGCTAGGCTTAGTAGTTCCTAAAGCAAACCAAGAGTTAACAAACCCATTAATTGAGATTTAAAATACTATATTACGTTTTCTTAGTGCTGTGGCCTTTAGTTACTTTAAACTGCCTTCATCCCATATTTGTAAGATACATTTTCTTTTTTAAAGTTATAGTACACTGTCTTTCTTCTCTGTACATGCTTGACTCATGAAGTAGACTCTTGGGTTTGAAATGGACCACAAGCAAGCTATAGAGTTTGTGGGCAGACAACAATGACAATAATGATGATTATAAAGGAAAACAATCAAAATTTTAATCTGGTCATGGCCTCTCACAGGGGTTTTTGTTAAAACTGTATGCCTGTTTCCTGTCTCTAGTTTTGTATCCTCTTCTCAAAAGGTTACATAGTGACCCTGGTATAAAGTTTCCGTTCAGTTCAAGAAACAATTATTGTGCAGCTAACTGTGTACAAGATATCCAGAAAAGGAAATGATCTATTTTGCGGAGGACTCTGAAAGCAGTGTATAATAAAATGGCAAACAGGGGCAGGAGGAGGGGAAGAGTAATTACTTCCTGTTGTTGTCCTTTTTCTTTACTAACTGCTTTCAATAAAGAAAAAACTTTGACCTCAAAGAATGAACCACTTCCCAGAGAATAGAGGTAAAGATTTGAAGTCTTAAAAAAGTTTATTTGGTTTAAAACAAAGTCCTAGAATTTCTAGTTCCCAGAGTTAATGGAATATGACAAAAATAATAATTTCCCCATTTATCCACTAACTGGAAATATTTCAAAATTCATTATATATGCTATATAGTTAATTCTGCCATTTAGTTCAATCTGCTGCCTTTTTAGTTTTGAATTTATCTTGCAAAAAAATTAGAACTGTTCATTTTCACTTGGTCAAAGTATTCAGAGGTTCATATTCTCAATTTAAGTATACTGTTAAGTCTCTTTAAAAATTTAGCCATTTTCAGTATTACTAACATATATAAATTTCTTCTAAAACAAATGTTTTTATTGGGTTTTTCGTAAAAATTCTTGGGCCATAATTAAAGTGTCAGTCAAACTATTATTCCTGAAAGCATCTTCCAGTGTATAAATTATTTCCTAGTACACTTTTAAGGTCTTCTGCGTCATAATCTTGTCCATTTGCCATTATTACACAACTAGGTTCAAGCCGCTAATGGAGGTTGTCTAAATAGAGAAGGGGCAGAACTATTTCTGCAGTCCAAAATAATGGGAATTGACACATAATTAGATCATGTGTCAGCTCCCATTATTTGTTGGATTTTGTTTCTGTTTTTGTTTTGGGCAGCTTTCTTCACCATTTAGTTGAGTGTTTTACTAACTGACAATAGTTAACTTTGTTTATTTCACAGAAATTTGTAAGTATACCAAGTAGCAACTTAATGTGCTGAAAAATCTGACTTGTAACTTCTCTTTTCTCTAAGCAGTAAGTGTAGGTCATCTTCCACGTCCTACCCCATGAGTACATTAGGATTTGTGACTTATCAGCTTAAACATTTGTGGCATCAGCAAAATACCCCACTCCAGTCCTTACTATCCAGATGAGTAAAGATTAAGGTGTGCAGTAACTGTTGTTAATGATGCTTTTAAACCTTAGAGGAGCTACCACACGACTGGATTCCAGCTTGCTGTTTAAAAAGGCGCGTGGGGCTGGCGATGGCACTCAGAGAAGTTCTCGCCTAGCATGTACAGAGCCTGGGTTTAAACCTCAGCTCACAAAGAAGAAAAATGTGTGTGTGTATACCTCTCACACTAAAGAAAAAGTATGAGCACCCCTCCTACTTTCAGGGGGTGACCTTTTTTACTGATTTTTTTCTTGCTAAAATTATATAACTAGCTTTAGAATATTGTATTTAAATTTGAATTTGGAACTTGCCTTATTTTATAATCATTCCTTTTTAAAAAATAAACTTCCTTCATTAATTTTATTAGTCTTCCATTTGAGTATTTTGAATGGAGTGACATACTCTTGATTTTTTTTAATTAAAAAAAAATGAAACATATAAAATAGACTGAAGGTATGGCTCAAGCAGTAGAGTGCCTGCTTTGCAAGCACAAAGCACTGAGTTCAAACTCCAGTCCCACCAAAAAAGAAAGAAAAATTATTTAGGGATTGGCAGAGTGGCTCAAGCAGTAAGAGTGCCTGCCTAGCAAGCATGGGTCCCTGAGTTCAAACCCCAGTGCCACCAAAAAAAAAGGTGAAACATATTTTTATTAAACAACTTTGTATGTGAATCTCTAGACATTATTTCCCAACTGTATTGAGCTAGTTCTTCAAGTTCAGATTTTCTGTCATGTTTTGGTATGCATTTGTGTGGACCTCGTCATTTTGAACAGCTTAAGCAAAGATGGAAAGTCAACAGACATGTAAATAAAATAATTTTAAATTGTGATATTGTAATAAAAGAAAAAACAATGAGCTGACATGGAAAGTGATGGAGTGGGGGTTGGCAGTAAGGTGCTAGTTTAGATTGTCAAAGGTTTTGTGAATGAGATGAAATGCAACTAGCAGGGCAAAGCTCAGGGAAGAGCATTTCAGGCAGAGGTATTGAAATACACAAAGGCCTGAACTATGGGAAAACACTTTGGTACACTGCAGGACTGAATGTTAGAGAGAAGGTCTAGGACAAGACTGTTGGAACAGAATTTCCTGCAAGGATGGACATGTTCTGTAAGCTCCCTACCCAGTACAACAGCAGATAGCCTCATGTGACTGTTACTAACACTTGAAATGTGGCTAGTGTGACAGGAACTGAATCTTTAACTTTATGGGGCTTGTGGCTACTATTTGGGACAGACTAGGTCTAAATCCTGGCCAAGCATTGTGGAATGTACAAGTAGTTCTCAAAGTAGCACATAAGATGAACTCTTTTTGTTGTAACTTTTTAATGTTTTCTTTCTTACGACAACAAATTGTACTGATTTTTTTATTTGTTGGAGCAATATAACATTTCCTTTTAGAATACATGTTAACGACTAAATAAGGTAGCATTGAGATAGGACAAAAATGACTGGTGTGCAAATAAGTTTGGAATGTGTAAGCTGTAAATCCAGGTGCAGTGGTACACACCTGCAATCCTAGCTCCTGGGGAGGTGGAGATCAGGTGGATCATGGTTTAAGGCCAGCCCATGCAAAAAGTTAGTGAGACTCCCATTTTTTTTTACTTTTTTTTTGTGTATGTGTGTATTTTTTTTTCCTTTTTCTTTTATTATTCATATGTGCATACAAGGCTTGGTTCATTTCTCCCTCCCTTACCACCCACTCCGCCCCCTCCCTCTCCCCCCTACCCCCTCAATACCCAGCAGAAACTATTTTGCCCTTATTTCTAATTTTGTTGTAGAGAGAGTATAAGCAATAATAGGAAGGAACAAGGGGTTTTGCTGGTTGAGATAAGGATAGCTATACAGGGCATTGACTCACATTGATTTCCTGTGTGTGGGTGTTACCTTCTAGGTTAATTCTTTTTGATCTAACCTTTTCTCTAGTACCTGTTCCCCTTTTCCTATTGGCCTCAGTTGCTTTTAAGGTATCAGCTTTAGTTTCTCTGCGTTAAGGGCAACAAATGCTAGCTAATTTTTTAGGTGTCTTACCTATCCTCACCCCTCCCTTGTGTGCTCTCGCTTTTATCATGTGCTCAAAGTCCAATCCCATTGTTGTGTTTGCCCTTGATCTAATGTCCGCATATGAGGGAGAACATACGATTTTTGGTCTTTTGGGCCAGGCTAACCTCACTCAGAATGATGTTCTCCAATTCCATCCATTTACCAGCGAATGATAACATTTCATTCTTCATGGCTGCATAAAATTCCATTGTGTATAGATACCACATTTTCTTAATCCATTTGTCAGTGGTGGGGCATCTTGGCTGTTTCCATAACTTGGCTATTGTGAATAGTGCCGCAATAAACATGGGTGTGCAGGTGCCTCTGGAGTAACCTGTGTCACAGGTGAGACTCCCATTTTAACCAGTAGTTGGGAGTGGTGGTGCACTGCCTGTCATCCTAGCTATGTGGGAAGTACGAACTAGGAGGATCACAGTCAGAACAGTCCTGGGCATAGCACAAAACTGTCCTAAAAATAACTAAGGGCTGCATGTGTGGCTCCAGTAGTAGAGCACTACCCTAACAAGTGTTTGGCCCTGAGTTTATCCCCCAGTACCACCAATAAGTGAAAGAAAAAAAAAAAAAGGAATACATACAGGTTATCTATGAAGTTGGAATTTTATTTGAAAGCAAGTAATAAAGGGGAATAGTGAAATGACAATTCAGTCAAGCAGAAGATAAAAGGGAATGTGGAACAGGTAAAACAACTTTAAAATACAAGTGTAAACCAAACCTATTCACAAATTACCTGAAAATGGATTCAGTATACCAATTAAAGACAAAGATTATTAAACTGCCGAAAACTACATGTTGCTTCTAAGAGACTGATCTAAAACATAAATCAAAAAAAGTGAATGTAAAAGGATGGAAGAAAGACATATAAACATCAAGAGAAAACTTACCATTAATTAGCCTTATAACTTTCAGTTATTGCTGTGGTGGTTGCTAAGTGGCAGTTTTCTTATCCTGTCATTTTTATACACTTATTAAAATGCTACTTTAAAGTTCTCCCTGCCCATTTCTCTTCCCATTCATGTGTATGTATCAACTCATGGGCTCTTATTTTATGTTAGGGTTCTAATTCATTACTGTCCTTACTTGATTTCTCAAAGAATCCAAGTTTTAGACTTGGTAATTTAACTTCTGTATTACGTTTGACAATACTGGTTTTTTTATTTATTAGCATATTATAGTTGTACTGGGGGTACATTGTGACATTTACAAAAGTGCTTGCAGTTTATCTTAGATTCACATCCTCCATCTCTCCTTTATCTCT